AACTTGTGAGGTGGGACAGACACTAGCGCCACTTGCGGTAGGACCATACACTAGTGAAAGGATTTTGATCGTCGGAAAGTTCAAAACTCTGAATTTTTATTAAATTTAAAATAACAAGATGGCGGATGTATGAAATAAATATATTTTTGACACGAATGTTATTACATCCTATGAGCCCCAGTATGCCATCATAGTGCTAAAGCGCCTTATGAGTCAAGAACGCTTCCTTCCATATTCCTTCTAATTCACTATTCATTAATCACCCAATCACTCGACGCTATGTAGAGTCGTTAAACAAATATAAATAAGTAAAACAATGAATGACAAGAAAAACTACGATATATCTTAAAAATTAAGGTGAAATCAAGCCATAAATTCTCCCAAAGAAAACAAAGTTAATAACATTTTTGTCGATTATTAAAATTCATTGTCACTGACATTTTACTGGACGAAGATTTGGAAGGGTTTTGAGAGTGAGGGGCAAACACAAAAAGATTTCAAGTATCAAACCTCATAAAAAAGACGAGATCAGCAGAGCGAGAAACATTGGAGGAATGTTTCAATACGCCGGATGGTTGAAATATTTCCAATGTTATGTGAAGGGACTATGGAATTTCCATGCTCACGTGCAGTCTGTCTGGTATGACGCAAGACACAGTGTGGAAAGCTCTGACGGAGAACATGAGGATGTTAGGTCTAAAATGTGGGTTTTGATATTGCCTTGTCACGTGACAGACATTTCGATCGGCTGTTGCGCGAAAAACGTGCGCCAGAGAAAGTAGTTCCCAAAGAAAACTGAAAATTCACAGATTTCGATCAGAGGTGGGAAAAGTCTTAATTAATTAATGGAATAATGTGGAGAACTCGGAAAGAGTCATCGTATCTGAACTGAAGTAGAGTTTGCTGTTCGCTGAAAAAAAAAAATAAAGTTACCGGTAGAATGATAATATTAAAGAACGAAAAGCTTCATGAGTTGTTACAAAAAATAATAATATGATAGAGCTAATCCCTATCTCCGGACCTTCCATCGTCTAGTAAATATAAAACGTAAAACGACGTTTCGGAGATGGGACTCTATCTCCGTCTTCAGGTTCCTACATAGTTGGGCCCACTAGATAGAGCTAATCCCTATCTCCGTCGAATAAAAATTTCCTTGGATATTATCCATCGTCTAGTAAATATAAAACGTCCGGAGATAGGGATTAGCTCTATCTAGTGGGCCCAACTGTGTAGGAACCTGAAGACGGAGATAGAGTCCCATCTCCGAAACGTCGTTTTACGTTTTATATTTACTAGACGATGGATAATATCCAAGGAAAAAGTCCGGAGATAGGGATTAGCTCTATCTAGTGGGCCCAACTGTGTAGGAACCTGAAGACGGAGATAGAGTCCCATCTCCGAAACGTCGTTTTTACGTTTTATATTTACTAGACGATGGATAATATCCAAGTAAATTTTTATTCAATTGAATAATATTGTTTGCAATTGCTACACAGAGTTTTGTTATACACTTCGAGTTTCGAAATCCCGTGCGTCATTTTCAGGCACTCGCCATTTTCTGCTGTACAAAAATTGTGTGTATTTGTGTTTTAAAAATTTCACCGAATGCAGCCAAAAGCGTTTAATATCATTCTTACAAATTTGTATTTTTTTTTCTGCGTTCGTCATTATTTTGACATAAATTACAATTTTATTACAACTCTAAATGAACCCGTTTGTTACTTTATAAACACATATGTGTTTCAAATTACTGAATTTACATTTCTTTGATGCCAAAACTTAATTTAAGATTTCAACAGCAAACTCTTCCAGGCATACGGATTACCACGGCGCATGTCAGTCAATTGTCTCGCTGTGTTCGAGATCTCGCAGCTGTGTGTCATGCAGACGCAGATACGCGGTTGACAAGACAGCAGCTCATTTAACGTTAATTGGCTGATGCGGGCGTCATATCGCTATGGCTTTGAAGTGTCTGCACAGACCGTGGAATGTATGTCCGCCTGTCCTCCGGCAGAGACTCATAAACAGTCCACGATCGTCGACCGAGCTCGGTGTCCAGTTTCGCTTGCTACTTCCCTAGTCACATAAACTGCGTAAGAAGCTCATTGTATGTGGTTCAATTTACCACATAACCTCAGATTTCCACACATGTACCAGATGCGTAGTGGACGGTCATACAAGTTGGATTTGAGGTTTTCATGATGGAGAGTCTGAAGATGGCTGTCTTCTGGGTTGTAACGCGCTGTGTGATCTGGTAGTTTACCGACGTTTCAGAGGTCCTTGCTGTCTCCATCATCAGGGCAATCTGAAACGTCCGTAAACGTCTACCAGACTACACGGCGCTACAACCCAGAAGACAGAAATCTTCTTGCCTGTATGTCCTTCAAAAATCACAGACGTAGTAGTTTGTGCAGTTGATACAGAGTCGTTACATAAACGCACTGTTAATGGGTCCTGTGAAGATTACAGTAAAAAAGCCTGTTCGTGACAATATACTACGCTGCGGGGGGGGGGCCTTGTTTCCCCCTGCAGACAATCCGCCAGTAAGAGAAACACAGCGCCGCGTTTCTCCAATGAAAATAGAAGACGCATCGCACGAGCCCACTAATTCAGCACTTATTTATATCTAATTAGTGCTGCTCTGTGACACACGGCAAGTCTTGCCAGTGAACGGCCGCAAATAGATTTATGTCAACCTGTGAGCATTAGATCGCGTGCGACCCGCGACTTTCGAAGTGCTAGTACACTTTTCTTGGTAAATGAATACTTTAACACGGTCTCTACCACAGGTGGAAAGATAATTTAAAAACAAACCTTCGGGCCCATGATGTTACCAGGTGGTAATTTCGGTCAAATATATATAATATGCCACGGTGGTCTAGCGGTTAGAACGCTGGCCTTGTAATCCTGGGGTCTCGGGTTCGATTCCCGGCGGTGTCCGAATTTATAACTTGTGTTGGGCAAGGCCGTGGTCTAGGCAACACGGAGTTTTCCTCCGTGGCATCCCAACAATTACTCCATTCACACACAGAAGAAGGCAATGGCAAACCACTTCTGGATCATCTGCCAAGAACGTATATGAACAGGTCCCAGTCCGAGAAAAGGATGGAAGGATCCTGTTCATATGGACCAGTCGTCAGACAGAACACTAAATAAATAAATAAATAAAATGACGATTCATAAGTGACAGCACAACCGCCTCGTTCACGGTTGTGTTTATGCACGGAAAAGTTTTAAGTGGTCATATTTGTTACATCGCGGAGTATGTCCCTCGCTCTTTCGCGGTCTGCGCCTCAGTTGATTACCAGCGCTCTGAAGAAAGGTCTCAAGACAGCGCTTGACTTACTCGGACGTTGACCATTTCACGAAGAGAGACACGATGAATTCTGCCGCGGAGTCGTACGAAGGCAAAGCAAGGGGAGATCATGTCTTCTGTCATCTCATCCGCCGCGCCTTTTATGTACCTCAGTCACCCTGACGTCGATGTCGTCCCAATAAACACCAACAAAAATTCTTTCATAGTTATTAATCAATAATTATACACATTACGTACGTCTTGTGGTCCCCCTAGCCTAGGGTCTTATCATCGCTTTTTTATGTTTCACGGAAGTTTTCAGCAACTCAGCTTCCTCGAAATTCGAATGTGATGTTCAGCTATAAACTTCAGAATTTCGCTCAGACCGAACACAATTATTTAAATTCTCGAGATTACTGTCACATGAACCCTAAGAAACCATGTAAGAACTCGTGAGTGCATTTGTGTGTACAGTAAATCATGCTGAATATGAATCAGGCCCCGTCTACAGTCATTTCCGACGGGCTGTTCAAATATTCTTTGATTCGACGTCATCCGTTGACCCTACGACTGTAATAACTATGATAACGCATCGCGAACACAGGACATCTAATTAGCCAAGAACGAGGTCCCATACACAGGATTATTGCCTTTCCTCATATTATAATTGTCTTAATTATCATCTCTTCGAATCTTTGCCATGTTTCTCCGCGCAGGTGTTTTGAACACTTTAGAATCTCCAAGAAAATCCTGATCCATTTGTCTCGTTAAGAAATAATAACGCCACGTGGTCTCTTTCTGCCTTCAGGTCTGAAGGCTTCAGCCAACATCGACAATATTAAAGTGGATTTTTAAGAAATATGACGTGTAAACACGCCTAGTAAGACGCACGCCGCAACCCTCACAACTCCAATCGAGTCGCTGCAGTTCCGTTCAGAGCGTCAGGCTCCTGCTGGAGCATTAATCTTTCCGCAAAACGAGAGAAGGAGAGAATAAGAAAAAGGACATATGTCACCAACCAATAGAGACACCCAGCACCGCCTAGAGCCCCCTCCCCGTTGCCCAGCACTCTGCTCCCTACGGTAACCTGTCGTAAGGATGAAAATTGTTTCAAACGACAAGAAAACAGTTTCTAAAACTAGTATCCTGGCCAAAGGCGATTGGTCTAAGTCCATTGACACAAACTTATAATAAAATCCAATGTTATGACGCGAAGGTTTGTCGCGCGGTATGTCACGTGCTGTGTGTGTGTGTGCTGAGTGCGTGAGTGCGTGTCGGTGTAACGCGGCTCCAATGTCGTCTCCGAAGACTTTCGTCGCTGGAATCCTCCAGTCTGAGATCTGTGTCTTACAGAGTGTGAACTTGGCGGGTGCCAACCTGTTGCGCGGATCCTAGATAATCTGTGACACTTGTGACGCACGTGTGTTGCGGGTCTGCTGATATTGACGTCGAATGGAATGAAGTGTCTCGTCATTTGATTGCGACAGATGACGGTCCAGTGATGTTATTAAATTGGAAGCTGTGTTGTGAGTGACGTGTGCAATCAAGCGGAACGAAAGATGCGAATCGGTAGAGAACGGGGTGTTTCGGGATAAGGTACCGCCGCGTGGGGATTAATGTGACACCAACAGAGGCATTCTGGTAGAATTATTTTTAATAACATTCTCGCAGGAAACATTATACTTTGATATATTTTTGTGGCCAAAGTTAAAAAGTGAATTTTTGTATCGTGGATTCAAATTAAAGACATAACTGAACGTACACGATCCGAAACAGACGTTAGTGTCATTAACTGTGAGACGGAAAGTCAAGATTTCTCTTTTACTCCATCGTATCCGAATGTTCACTTCGCGTTGAAATGCAGGAACCAAACGTGGCCCAGACGTACTCGCCCCTCAACAACACGTACAACAGATCCTTCATATTCCAGCCCGCCCCTCCTTCAACCGCACCCCGAGCGCCCCACTGGGACGCTCAGTGGTCAACATACCTCCATCAGCCCTCGGACACATTCCTTGGATACCCTTCCTTCCAGTTCCCTGACCCTTACCAGCTGGCAGGCACCGTGTGTCAAAAGTTCGAACTGAGAACCAGTTCAAATGAAGAACCCATCAGTGGCGTCGATATGTTGGAAGAGGACATCCCGTTGCCAGGTAACTGCGGGGACGTGTTTGATAAGAACATGCAAGGAAAATGTACATTCCAGGAACTGAACTTTAATATGTTTGACAGTCAAGACACTCTGAATGCTGACACGCGTAGGAGACACCAACATCAGATCTACGAGAAGTTCGAGACGCCAGCGCTGTTTACAGCGGAATCTGAGGAGACCGCCCGACAGAATTCGAGAAGGTGCAATCAGAATCCCCAGAAATGCGACGCAAATCAGCAACAAATTGCAGACCATTTGAGAGGAGATTCCGCACAATTCGAAGACGGCGCCGGAGCGGATTCCGAGACAGATCAAGAACTCGACGGCTTCAACTTTGAGAATGACGGAACAATGTTGCAGGAAGACGGAAGTGGTTCTCGCCAACAGATGACAGTCGGTGACATCAAATCGATGACGCCGCTAAGCCACGGAGACGACCCCTTCGTCGATGCAGAGGCCGTCGGCCGCAGGACAGCGGGTACAGAGAGGGAATTTCTGCAGCAAAGACAAACACCGGCCTCAGTCTCTCAGAGCGGATCTGGTGAGTTTGTACGCCCACTGACTGTTCACAGTTCTTCCTTTGGTGAGGCGACTAGTACGAAGATGGTTGCCTTCACGGATGTACGGTAGATATTTACGACGTTTCGGAGAAGCTTACTGCCTTTATCAGTAATTATATGGAGGCAGAATAGCCACGGTGGTCTAGCGGTTAGAACGCTGGCCTTGTAATCCTGGGGTCTCGGGTTCGATTCCCGGCGATGTCCGAATTTATAACTTGTGTTGGGCAAGGCCGTGGTCTAGGCAACACGGAGTTTTCCTCCGTGGTATCCCAACAATTACTCCATTCACACACAGAAGAAGGCAATGGCAAACCACTTCTGGATCATCTGCCAAGAACGTATATGAACAGGTCCCAGTCCGAGAAAAGGATGGAAGGATCCTGTTCATATGGACCTGTCGTCAGACAGAACACTAAATAATAATAATAAGTTGTATATATTTGTAAGACTTGTATATATTTCCTACAAGGGACTCAGTATATTCGTTTCGTTGTTTCAAGAGCCGGGCGATTAAGCCGAACGCTAAAACACCCGCTCAGCCGTGACATCGGCCAATTCCGTGCCCGCAGATAAGCGCCGTCTCCCCCCTTCATTATCCATCAGTGGCTTCGCCTGATGGATTGCCGCATTACTAATCAATCACATGTGAAAATGGCCTCCTCGTGTGTTCATGATAATCGCTTCAGGCACTCGTCCTATGACGTCTCTCGCATTGATGTAAAAATACGCCTTTCGCCTCAGGCACACAGTGAACTGATGTAAGTTTAAAAGGGGTGGGACACCTTTTTTGGATTTCATCCAGCGTCCAGATATTTTGGGCTATCAATTCAAGGAGTATGAGATGGGCGGATGTGTAGCGCGCAATATTTTAGTCTGACAGCTTAAGAGATTAAACTACTTCAGAAGCATAAACGTAGATAAAAGTATAATATTAAAATGGATCGTAATGAAATAGGCTGAGACAGATGCGTCCTTCTCTAAATGCATTCAGGTCGCGCAGTTTGTGAAAAGGACGAAAGTTATGAATTACATTTTCATAAAACTGAAGAAGCTAGGAGAAAAAAAACAAACGAATCCTAAACTTTATGAATTCGTAAACTGCAAGTGCTCACTGACACGGAGAGGCTCAGTGCAGTGGCAAGTTTGGTCACCCCTGTCGTATACTAAAACGTAAAAATAAAATATCGACGCAAATCCAGGTTTCGTAAAAAGCCCAAACATTCTACGTACTGAAATTGTAACTGTGCTGATCTGATTTCAGCCGAGTGACCGGTGGCGAGGTGGTGTTCCTCAGACTGTGGTCCGCGAACTGATTAAGTGAAATGATGAAAAATATTAATTTAAACCTTGCGCCTACCTTCAGAAACAAATACGTCACGTCCATTTATATTCTTCGCCAGTCTGTGTAACTAACTAACTAACTGCATGACACTGAGACCTTCTTCTGGATCTAACAGTACGCTCGACTAATAATTCGACGCTCCTTTCACGGGATCAGAAGACTCATCACTGCCACTGGTCCAGATTCCGAACGAGATTCATTTAAAGCACACCTCCAAGTTCCAATTCCATAAAATCCACTTTAATATTATCCCCCCATCCGCGCCTAGGACTCCTGAGGAATCTATTTCCTTCAGACATTCAAACGAAAGTTTGTACGCGTCTCCTATCTCCTCATGCGCGCTACATTCCCTACCCATCTAACCCGCCTCTATTTCATTATCCTAATTAAATCTTAATAAATTTGTGGTCAATCTTTCTGAAAGGAACCCACGAAAGTATTCGCGCTAAACTAGAATGGAAATAACAAAAGAAGTTTGCATGACGCAAAGCTCCGTTGCTCAGTAAACGCATATTAACCCTTTGAAGACGAAGATCGTCTGAATATTATTTACGAATCCAGACCGTACCGCGAAGAAAACACTTCACTTAACCATTACGAAAATCAGCTGGTTAACCATTTGAAGACGAAGCTCGTCTTCATAATATTTACGAATCCAGACCGTACCGCGAAGAAAACACTTCACTTAACCATTAGAAGTCGAATCAGGCGGTACCACGTAAGATTTAACAAAAGAACATCCCGGTCGAAGCCTTAAACATCGGTTTGTCGAAATCTGGCGAAAAAGGGGCCGAGTAGCAGCCTGAACCCTGAAGTATTATTCACATGTCCACCGTTTGCGACGACATGGAACAAGGCCGATCGTATGTGGAGGATTTCTTCACTCGAAATTAGATTAACGTGACCAGGTGGATTTATTCCCGATACGCACAGAATAAAGAGCTCTATGGATATGTATACGCGATTGGCGTACGCACTACATACAAAGACAAAGTCCTCCTGATGGCTTCCACTGGCAGCGCGGAAGCGAGATAAATCTTATCCCGCAAGATGACAATATTTCATTTACAGCTTCTTCATAAGGAATGGTATCCACTGGTGACGTCAGCATCAATTTCTTTCTTCAGTCTCGTAAAGTCCTGGCGCGTTTAATTTGTGGCCCACGAAATTCCGCTTAGTGAACTGTTGAAGCCTTCGTTCTTCCTTGCCCTCAGAATTTCCACAGAGGGTTGGTCTGTCGGCACACGAAACGAAACTTCCTTCCCTGAAGAGAGGGATGTTTTTAGTGTTAAAGCTGGCATTATGTTCGGTTCTGTGCATATTTATTCTGCCAGCTACCAAAGATTTAACTGGAAGAAACTTCAGGAAACATGACAAAGATTTTTGGCCTTATTAATATTCAAACTAACTCAAAACTTGGAGAGTTTCTCTTTCTATCGGCCTGTCGCATGTTACCATCCTTTGCACCATTTAAGCCTGGCGATTTTTTAATATGTCAGTGAATTATGAATCACCCTGTATTTATCACAACTTACTTTCTCTGTGATAACAGAGTCAACTGTCTCAAAGCGTCATCGCCAAACAACGATTCTGAGTCAGTTCTATCCAATTTCGATCCTCAACGCCCTATCTTCGTAAATTCAAACTTAGTGTCATTATCCTATTGCTTCGTTGTCTACCAAATTGTCGTCTTCCACGAAGATTCCAACTATTAGACATTAAAATCTTTATACTAACATTTTGGAGTAGGGGAAATCGATTGTATTCTATTATAAAATATCATTGAATCGAAATTGTGACTGCCAATTTAGTAAGATATTTAATATATTTAAATGTTGTTTGCAACAATAAATCGATAATTAAATCGTTTACCGGAAGAATGTTTTGCCAGGAAGAAATTACAATGACTTCGTTGTGTGTAAAGAGAAGTTTTCAATAACGTATGAAATTCTGAAGAAGGATAAGATCTGGAAGGTCGATATATTGACTTAGAATTTAGGGCTGGATGACAAGTTTTGAGGTTATGTTCTCAGAATCGCAGAATACTAACAGCGGAATCACTTAGTTCCAAAGATGAAACCATAAAAATATACATTTCAAGATAAAGGTTACGAGTCTTAAGCAGAAATCAAATAACTACGGAATTTATTGTATATTTGAAACAAACAGATCGGCTAACAGGAGTGGTTAATCTCAGCTGTGTTATCTAAAATGTAAAAGACGCTATTGAGGTTGGTTGTGATTCACTTGTTCTCTGTTGCGTAGGGGGCGCAGTGTGTACGCCGACAGTCTTCTGTCATCGCCTTACTTCAATAAGGCAGTGTGTTCAGCTGTAACATGCTGACGGCTGAGAGAGTCACACAAAGATTGAGTGTAAACAAGGCCAGAATGTTTACGATAGTATCACTGCGATACAAAACAGGTCACGTGACACGAAAGTACGACAAAGCCACGAGAAGTAAAAAGACTTCATGTCTAGTCCTTGTCAAAATATAAACTCGCAGTGGAAGCAGCCCCGAGGGGAAGGGGGGGGGGCTTATGGCGGCTACACAGCACGTTACTTAACCCTTTGAAGCCGAAAATCGTCTGAATATTATTTATGAATTCAGTCCGTACCGCGAAGAAAACACTACACCTCACCATTACGAAAATCAGCTGGTTAACCCTTTGAAGCCGAATCTCGTCTTCATAATATTTACGAATCCAGACCGTACCGCGAAGAAAACACTTCACTTAACCATTAGAAGTCGAATCAGGCGGTACCACATAAGATTTAACAAAAGAACATCCCGGTCAAAGCCTTAAGAAGCTTAAGTATGTTCAATGAGAACAGCGTGGACCACGAATTATCTATGCGATTCAGAGACGTGTATATTTGTATATAATTTTCACTGATGTACAGTAACATCAGATTTTGTGTCACAGAGACGCAGAAGACGGAGCCGAAAGCCCGAAAGGAGCGCACAGCCTTCACTAAGCTCCAGGTCCGTGAGTTGGAGGCGGAGTTCGGACATTCGAACTACTTGACGAGGCTCCGCAGGTACGAGATCGCCGTAGCGCTGGATCTCACGGAGCGACAGGTGAGTGCCATCTTGTTACAGATAAACAAAATGGCTGCCCGAATCTTTGGCTGAGCGTCACAGTATTGTTATACGATACATCCCACGAAAACTGTCACTACATTAGAGGAGCAACATTTCATACCACGCAGTTCGAATGTTGCGCCCTCCTGTCTGTCATCTGTCTATAATTAATGTCATTCATAAAAATCTAATAAACTGTTTGAAAATCTGAGAACTGCAAGTTCTCGCGGCGAGAAGTATAAAGGACGTTACTTAGTGTAGACCAGAGTTTCATTACCCTGATGAAGGAAGCAGTAAGTCCCTCTGTAACATCCGTGACGATGCAATATTCTTAACAAGACCGTAATTTACCTGGTAATTCACATAACAAGATCGGTTAGGGACGCTGATAAGAAGTATTAGTACTGGCCAAGAATTTTCGAATTGTGTTCGTCCTCAAGCCTCAATAACATCTTACGTACTCCCATTCAATGTCCAAATCTTTCTCTCTTCATTGGTTGCAGCAAAATTACGGTCTGCGGAAATATGGCGCCCTTGTGACAAAATGTTATTCATGGGTTTCAGATCTGTGGGGAAATATTCTCTGTTCCGCTGCTTCAGAGCCGGGGACCTTAACAGATCTGATTTTTGTTTGACAGGTGAAAGTTTGGTTCCAGAACAGACGTATGAAGTGGAAAAGGACTAAAGGCGGACATGACAGAGGAGGGCGAAGACAGTCGGCAACCTGCAGGAAGAAGACTCTGGTTGCGGGTGACACTCCGGACCAATAATCCTTAACATGAAAACGTTCGCTTCTGTCTCTAAACTAAAGATATCTCCTTGATATAGAATGGTCGAAAGGTCACGCAACCACAGGTATATTTTGGTTGATGATTGTAATTTAACAGAATTCTATTGGCTTATTAAACAAATAAAATGTCGATGTGACTACATTAAAGTCCACGCAGGTCGCGTCATGTCGTAACCTGCTCGCGCCAGACCGTCAGTTGTCTCTCAACAGTCGAAGTGCTAGGATGTCTTTTTCACAAGAGCAAAGAGTGTTCATTGTCGAACGCTGCCTGGCGTCTCGTTCTTAATTAACTTGTCAGAATGAATTTAGGGACACGTCTCCCGATTCTCCTGTGCCAAACAGATCCACAGGATCTCGTCTGGTGATAAGAATAATAAATGCATTAATCGCTGAATGCGATGGCGATTTCAAGCACTTCGCATGACAATGATTCTTTTGTTTCCTCGTGTAAATTCAATTTATTTTTTGACAAGTATAACACGTGTCACGAACGGGTTTCGTGACTTTTCGATCACCCTGTATTTGATGAATGCTTAAAGAAACGCAGAGGGCATACGTCCTTTGTGTGTGTCCGAACATTAACACTTGTTTTATCATAGGCTATACGTTCAATACCGCGAACAAAGACAATACTCAGCGACGCTGTTGAGACCCTTATGAAAAGTCATGTACTCTTTTGCCTTCAAGGGTTCTTGGCACAGAAACCAAAGTTTAACAACAGACACGTATGACGTAATTGCAGTTTGTTTAACTACGTCAAGTTTTCGGCTCAGTGTTAAAAATTAGGGGAGACTGTGACACGTTGGGACAATTCTAGTGATCGACTTTTCCTACTTGCGAGAATTAGTTTAAAACACCCAATTTTTTTACTGTTGGATTACTTATTTATTATTGAAAAATTATTTTCTACTTGCTCTGAAATCATTAAAAATTGACTAAAACAGAAAAAAAAAATATAGACGATAATTAAGTCTCTTAATGTACAACACATTATTGTGTATTACAAAATAAGAAATCTACAGCAAATGTCACTTGGATAAGCAATGAATAAAGACGTTGAAGTTTCTTTGTACTTAATAAATTAAAAATCTGAACATTTATTATTTTTCAACAAGAAATTATTTGGAAGTCCCCAAACCTTCCAATTAATTCCTTTAAAATTAATTTTCCACCTGATAAAGGTTATAAGCTTAATGCCAATTTGTCTTCCACATATTTGTCCACGACACTTTAAATAAAAGCTTCTACATCTTCATCAGTTGATACACGTGATGAATATCCTTCACCGTCTAATCGCCCTTTGTAGTCCGAACCTTCGTCTTCGTTTCCATTTGAGACTTCAGGCTCTCTCAGGATCTCTTCTTGAATCTTGCGCCGTGTAGTCTGATAGAAGTTTACCGACGTTTCGGAGGAATTCCTGCTACCGGTTCTCATGGAAACGACGAAAGCTAAAGATGGAGGATACGTAGGACGTCGTAAGGAGTGGAAACAGAGAAATTCAGTTTGGGACACGTCATCTTCCTCAGACGCCGAGGTCTGGAGGAGGCACCCGCTGCTCGCTGTCACCACTGGAGCGTGCAGACCAGAACAAATGAGCCGTGCAGTGGCACGCGGAACTGTCACTTCGCATCTCCTTCTGATAAAATCATCACCGACTTCACAGCGAAATGAAATGCACTGCTGTGAAGAGCGAGGCGGTTTGTTTCAGACCGAAAACAGATTGCACAAATACGTTGGCCATTGCCACGAGAAACCAAGAAGTTTTGGCTGTCAGGCATTTCAGAATTCTACACATGAAAGGAGACACAGATCGATCGCTTTTATATATATTTAACCATAAATGTGTGCGTGTACGTACGTAGTTACTACATGAAGAATTCTAAATTTAAAATAAAATTAAATATATTTAAACTGTTCTAAACTAATTTCCGAACTTCTGAGACAAAGCCAAAGTTCCTTATTCCGTCCGCCTGTGTTCAAACACCACGTACGTATTTCAGCTGTCGCCATGTTAAATTACTAACCTCAAATAAGATTGCACGTGATTGAATGAACAAAATAAACACTTCTGGTTTGTGAACATTTGTTATACTGGTTTGCCTCTTTGAAGTCAAAATTCGTATAAATATTCAGTCCCTAAGACAAATAAAACAGCGAATGTCAATTACAATGACCAGTTCAAGAGGGGGAAAAGCTGCTTTCTCCAGAAATCATACGAAACTCACAAAAGGCAGAGTTGCTTACTATTAAAACAGGTGGTATATTGTCACAACTGATCTTTGAAAAGTTAAGGATCAGAGACCTAGTGATTAGCTGATTCCCCATCTAAAGGTACAATACAAGGATTCAGAATCACAGAACACCAGACGGCCTAACGCGTCGTAGCTGAAACAACTTGCAGTATGGGACATAATCAAAATAGAGGAAGGGTGACGAGTAAAGTCGGCTGTAGGACAGCAGAGCGTGAGGTCTGCATGTGTCAAATACATTATCTTGAATGTAAGTGTTTTGGGCTAGACATATAGCATGCATGAGGTAAGAATTGCATAAAAAATTTACCGGAAAAATCTGAAACTATGAGTAGATAATATTAAAACGGATTTGAAGAAAATAGTGTGAGGATATGGACTAGATACATCGCAATCAGGACAGGGATTTCTTGAACCAGCCGAGAGAATATCAGCTTCTCAAGAAAGATTCGTCCCGATCGAGTTAACTAGTTCCCTAGACCATAGCAGACTTTGCCTCTAGAACCACGCAGACGATAAAAGTTTCTGGCTGAAGAAGTAAATCTCCGCGTTTTAAATGTCAGGATTCTTAATTCTATTCCGACAGTTGCCGAAGCGTCGATGATCACTAAACCTCCCACAAGTTTAACCCAAGCGCTATCTCGCGTCTGCACAATCATCTGTTCTCAGGATCAAGACTGCAAATCTGACGTCAAAGCATCTGTCTTACGTACACATAAAAAAGAAAGTTTGTACCCAGGCTGAAATGAGTCATAATTCTGTTACAGCCTTGTGCGCTGTCTTCAACGAACGCTGGTTCGCACCTCGCTACATAGCCTTATATTTCAAACACCGAGACTTGCTAACTCGTGGTTTTCATCAGCCTCTCCAAGCGAAATTTTGTGACAGAACTCAGCCACAAGAAATAGTCACGACTAATTTTAAAGAAGCCACGCTGGCCTTGTAATCCTGGGGTCTCGGGTTCGATTCCCGGCGGTGCCCGAATTTATAACTTGTGTTGGGCAAGGCCGTGGTCTAGGCAACACGGAGTTTTCCTCCGTGGCATCCCAACAATTACACAGAAGAAGGCAATGGCAAACCACTTCTGGATCATCTGCCAAGAACGTATATGAACAGGTCCCAGTCCGAGAAAAGGATCCTGTTCATATGGACCTGTCGTCAGACAGAACACTAAATAATGTTTCAGCTGAACAAAATACTGTGCGCTCTGTAGCGTCTTTCGGCGGCCATTTTGTGCTCCGATTTAATTTCAGTAACCACAACATTCTCGCCCACATTTCTGTTGGCACTGCAGTGGAAATATATCGTGAATCATATCTTTACTAACGTACGGCCTTCTGACGTAACAGATTTAACGTTCTAAGCAGCCTGAACTGCGTCACCTATAAAGAGTGACATGTTTCTGCCCCCCCCCCCAAAGGTTATTTAACGGACGGGGCGTTTGGATTTCCGCAACACACTTTCATAAAAACACGAATATAAACCGGCAGTTGTACACGTTCCCCGCAGAAACTGCGTGGGGCAGAGCGTCGGAGTGCCACATGTCTACCGGGGTGTTCAGTCGTTCAAGGACCCAGGAAGGGTGCAACCGCGCTCTGGCTTCAATGGTCTGTTCGAACTATGAATAAATTATGGGGCAGTGAAAATTGGTTGTAGGACTCCGTGGAAGGATGGCCTCGCACTCGGCGACCCCTGCCTTATCACCGAAAGACAATCCCAGAGATTTAAGACAGATCCAGAAGTCTTTGGTCCTCGAGGTGGAACAAGCTAAACACGTGCTTCGTGTTAGTACTGGGCGACCCCTGCCTTCCCACCGAAAGACAATCCCAGGGATTTAAGACAGATCCAGAAGTCTGTGGTCCTCCAGGTGGAACAAGCTGAACACGTGCTTCGATCATCAGCGCGTATGGAGCCCGATAGCGCATCTGGAGTCCCCCACCCAAGCACCTCTGGGACAGCTTCACTTTACTTATTTTACTTTGAGAATGAATTAGAAAGTAAATAAAATAAAACACCGAGAAGCAGACTTGTCATTGACTGTACTCATTACATCAGGATTTTGCTGTGATATGTTCACCGACACCGAAAATCAGTGCCTGCAACACGTTAGGTTTTAAAGAAAACAAAGACACGGCAACCTTAAAAATATTTATTCTGTCATCGCGTCGCTGCACAATCTCATGGGTCGTCATTCAAGGCCTGGTTCTCCTTAAGCGCCCTCCTTTAGCCTTCACCTTCTTGGCACTGCAGGAAACTGTAAATGCTGGCAAAACTTTGCGTTTCACTACCCCAGTCACGCCGGGTCCAGACTTTGAGTCTGCTTCGGCCTTCACTTTCTCTACGCCGGGGCAGAGCGCGGACGTCGACAGAGGTCTGTGTTCCGCTATCTCTGTGACAGTGAACTCAGTGCTTGAAACGCCTCTCTCTTTTTCAACCTTCGCCTTTTTCATATTTCGGGAAAGAGGAGACATTGAGAAGGATCTCCGTTTCTTCAACGACGTGAAATTCGGCTGTAGATGAGTTTTGAAAGCATCTTTCTCTGCTTTCACTTTCTTCCCACTGGAAGAAGGAGTGGACGTTGAAAAAGATCTGGATTCCACTCCCTCGCTGCCAGCAAATTGAGATTTTGTGTCGGAAACATCCGCACGTCTCCCGGCCTTCTCTTTCTTTACATCTGGAGAAAGCGATGATGTGAAAGACTTCTCTTTCTTTACTGAAGTGACATTGGGTTGCAGATTATTATTGGAAACATTCTTTTCTGTTTCAGCTTTCACTTTTCCATTGGGAGAAAGTAAGGACTTCAATGAAGATCTGGATTTCATAGCCGAGGTGCCGCCGCGCTTCCGACGAGGCTTTGCTTCTGAGACGCCCTTCTCTGATTCAACCTTTACCTTCTCTGCGCCTGGGGATGGCACGGACGCTGCGGATTCGCGTTTCAGTACCCTGATGACGTTGGGTTGCGGCTTGAAATCAATCTCTGCGTCGCTTTCATCAATCAAAAGAATGGGATGTCGTCCTGTCTTGGAAATTTTATTATTCAGCGGTGTCAATGAACTGCTCTCAATCTAGAACAGAAAACAACTCATACTCCTCCATCTCCTAACGTAACGGAACACTGACGAGAACGATCACGGCGAAAGAAATGTGGAATAAGTTGACAAAATGATCTTCAGTCCAATGAATTCTTCTCTAGGTACCAGCTGTGTAAGGTGGTTGAACGGAGAAACCACCGAACCATCTTCATATTCGTCGTCCGAGTACCGAAGTTCGGTACCTTGAGGACGAGGACATAGATGGTTCTTGACCTAACATGTTAGATACAGTGCGGAACAACTTGGGGTTCCTACAAACCTGAAAAGCATTTCTGAATTTAAAACTTAATGTAAAAGGGGAAGTTCGTGAATGTTATATATAACAAACGGACAAAGACCTACATGTACGTAATTCCCATCCCAACATCACAAAGTCAGGCACCTTTACATTTTACACAGTTCACACTGCGTCTTCATGAAATGGTAAGCGGTTCTCGTGAGACGATGACACAAAAACAAAGGACAAACCGACTGACTACAAAGCGCAATGCTGTTTACCTGGCAGTCCAACTGAATGCCACTCTTTTCCAACTTTTTCTTCAGTTTGGTGAAGCGCTTGATTTCATGAACCACCGATGCTGCCTCCTCTTCCGGTGTTAGCTTCTTGTTAGTTTTCTGGATCCACCTCTTCTGGGTATTTCTCCCTGGACAGTTCTCAGGACGAATTTTAGAGCATCGAAACATTCCTCGGTATGTACGTTCCCCACTGACGTACTCGGCTGCAAGCACAACGTTAAATTCAGGTTCTGGCACATCTATACCATTTGCAGGAAATTGCAGAATGTCACAAGACCAGAAATGCTTCATACACACAAACACATTGGATAACGAAATACAGTGGAACCTCGACATAACGCGGGTTTCAAGGGACACCTTCGGTAACCACGTCATAAGCTACCTGCGGTATATGTGAAATTTACATTTATCTAACATAAAACATATGTAATCGTATTGAGGCACGTGATTACAGCCGTGGTACATCCGAGTCCGCGGTATAACGAGGCGCGGTATATCGAGGTTCCACTGTAAAGGAAAACAAATTCTGAACCTCACAGCAAGGTTTAAAGATTCCAGAAGGTTTAAAAGGTGAACAACTACATGGATCATTCTTGTATTCAAAGCCTCGTGGCCCGTGGTTTTCACAGCAGTGACTCTGAAGATGGCCGTCTTCTGAATTGTTACGCTGTGCAGTCTGGTAGAAATTTACTGACGTTTCAGAAGCCGGTAAACTTCTACCAGACTACGCGGTGCAACAGCCCAGAAGACGGCCATCTTCACAAATTCTGTAACTTCAGAGATGATTATTTAAGAAAGCTAAAGAATCTTCACACACGTGCCCCAATACTTTAATTCTGCTACATTTATTACAATTTCCACATTATTATAGAAACTTAATATCACAAAAAATGGTGCCAACGCTCATAACCTCAATTTTACTACTTCCTAACAAATTCTGTTTTTACCATGAGGGCAGCAATCATACCTTTAAGAAGTCTGCCACACATGAGATAATTGTTCATCGTCTCAGCCACCACCTGCGCCACTTCAGAGTACAGGAACTCTATGAAGGCATATCCCTTAGGTTTCCCATTCTGCCAGAGGAATTAAAAACACAGTCACATTAGAGTTTTCTAGAATTCCACTATTTACCATGACAAACAGCACAGCCTGTTACCAGCAGACTACCAAAACAATCTTTTGTGCACATTGTCTTTCTGGCTGTGAAAGAGATCGTGCTGCCATCTTTTGCTGGAAATATGAACTACTCGTGCTGCCATCCATCAGTGGCCATACGAACTATTTGATATACTGGGTTACAAATCAGCTCTGGTAATAGGACAAGTATATTACAATTACTATTACTACTCTGTGTTTGGGCTCCTCTCACCTAATCTGAGAACAGAAATATACTCAGTTTATGATGTGTTCTGTTTGGAATAACAGATGATGGACAAAGTCAGAAAACCCAGTAACGAAATTCATTATTTCAAAATATATGCAAACTTGTCATAAGACATCTGTACCTAAACAGTACAGATTTTTATAAAGCATGTGTAAAAACCTGTACTGTCAATAACTCAAATAAGTAAAACTATCATCTAATGACATTTCACAACTGCCAGAAGAATAAATGTCACAAGGAAATGTCAAAGTCCTGCACCAATTAATGAATTCCTTTCAATTACATGGCAGTTTACATCAGTACAGGGAACTGTTTGTGTCAGTTATGATACCCTAATTCAGAAACAGACATATTCATTAAAAATCATGGTCACAAATGCCCAAACTCATTTATCATTTAACTGCATATTTCTTTGTTAGGTAGTATAAAACACAGCAAAATTCTAAGAGCATATTAAGAAGGCGTTTGGATACAAATATTGTGTCAATCTTCACTTTAAACCAACCACAAGTTCATGATTAAAAAATATAAAAGTGAAAACACAGCATATCTTCAACGAGTTCATAAAATGGCATCTGTAATAAACAATGGTGTGTTGACACAAAAAAACATTCTAAACAGAAAATATATATATTACACACTGTGGCCTTCTGGGTTGACATATTGTAGCAGTAGGATAATATGATATAAGTTCATATTATGAAGTTGGCAATGCTGTAATGAACTCTGAATAAAGAAACAAGATCGAGGAGGTCCTGTAAGTGTGGCTGAATGTAAACAGCGCTTCTGATATGTTCATTTAATAACCATAAACCAAAGAACTACTACAGCTGCCACCTACAAGATATTGTTACAACCCAGACCACAATCTGAATTTTCACTGTCGTTAACACCTAAAATTCCATATGGAATATATGGATACCACAGGAGATATAGATTTGAGTCCAGTGACTTGTATTCATTATATTTCAAGAAAAATCATCTTGCGGAAGCTAAACTCCAAGGGCAGCGTTCCATTTCAAATCCAGTGGCAGTGAACATGCAAAACATGTGATTAATACACAGATCCTCAGCTCCTCTGCCATTCTTCCGACACAACGACCAGCCCCATTTGATGCTTTGCATCCACTTTACAGTTTTTGACACAAATGAAGCAGAAATAAGCAATGCAGATTGACCAATGCTAATACCAATGTAAGTTTTATTGTAGATGAATTCATAAACTCCACAAGGAATCATTAAACACAGAAAGAAGATGAACATGCTTACAGACACAATAAGCCACAAGTTCTAAGAATTTTTATTTTTATTTTATTGCTGTAAGACAAACAGAATCATGTGACTAATACCAACAGATGATTGCCAAAACACTGTAAAATACTACACTACGTCTGCAGGGGAATTAGTAAAGTCAACATTCAGTGACTGACTAGTTACAGAGCGAGTGGTGAGCAATAAGAAACCATGCAGTAAATGAAAACATTCATTGAGAATGCATTATGACTTTAGGTACTATATTAAAAAATTAGTACCATGTACAAAAACACTATATATAATGTACCTTTTTGCTCCTGACCAAGTTCAGTCGAGTAACTCTGCCAAACTGGCTGAAGTATGAGTGCATTTCTTCCTCGTAAAAGCCTTTAGGAATGTGGCCAAGGTATACGACTCCTTTCCCATTATTCTGCCATGTAGACTTACTATCTTTTTGATCAGCAGATTTTTTCTTTCCCAAAACAGCTTTCTTCCCTGCAGCAGTAGTGGCATCACTGTCACACTGGTCCCGGATTTTTAACTCATTCTTCTAAAGAGTTGAAAGGGAATGGTCATAGTGATTTAAGACATAGTTTACACTTCAATAACATAGTTGTAAATTACAGAGGGCGGATTTTAAAGAAATTTCAAGTATGAAATAATGTATTTCTTACAACAGAATAGAAAAGAATTCATTTAGAATAAAACAGTTTTACATTCCACATATCCTTCATAGGCCTAAGCCAAGGACACAGAACAGGTCATAGCTCAAATACAACATTCATCTGCAATACAATTGTAAATACACATCTGTGACAGGTATTTATACTTTACTACAGTATTACAGCAAAAATAATTACACAAAAAACCGTCATCATTATTACTTACAAGTATTTATAATAGCTGAGAATTTCAGGTTAAGATACAATCTTCAATGGAGTAGGAGTGAGATAGGAGATACTGTTTTAGTACTGGCATAAATGTTTTATATAATTATTTAGACTTTTTATAGTAGATGGAAAAATTATTGAATAAATTTCAGTACAGTAAATTCCTTTTTGTTATTTACTGAGGTTAGCATTCAGCATACGAAGGTCATATATGTATCTTGTACTTACATTGTGGAAATATGAGTTTGTTTAAACATTTCATTTGTTGTTCACTACAAACAATAATGGGAGAATAATTTTCTGGCTAGTGGAATATTAAAATTCTTAAATAAATCCCTGAAAGAAGAACCCCTTTCAGGGCCTGCAATTATTTCAATGATTTTCTTGCAGATGTATATTACTTTTCTGCTGTCCACTAAAATGCTGAATTAAGCTATTCAATAATCTCACCCCGCTATAAAACGTCTGAATCACGATATAAATACGTTTATGACAGTATTAAAAGAATATTTCTTATCACTCCTTCTACTTCATACAAGAATTTACATCAACTGAATGTTCTATGCTATTATAAATACGTGTAAGAAATAGTGGGCATGATTTATACTGCATTTATTTTTGCAGTAATACTGTAGTGAACTGTAAATTACTGTCATAACTACGTAATTTATATTTATATTAGAAACAAACATTGTATTTGTGCTGTGGCACGTTCTACATCCTTGACTTGGGCCTACGAAGGATCTATGGAATGTAAATAAATTATTTTCTATTCCAATTCATTACTGAAACTTCCCGACTCCCCATTATAATACACTTGCCTTAATCAGAGTTTTAATATTTTTTACGGCTTTCGTGAAAGTCGACTGTGATGATCTGTCGAGGGAAATACTATCTGCCATTTGGCCTGATATAAATATTCTTAATCTTCACAGAAAGCAAGAAACAAACTCACACATACAGCCACTCACCACATGGTCTACGATTTAACCATAGATAATAAATAGGTATGTGTTATATGGTGTTTGGTCATAAGCCGCGTTTGCCCGTACCACAGAAAATAACAACACGTACATATATCACAGATAAAAATTAGGTCTGGGAATACCAACGACCAACCAATACTTTTTAATAAAGAAAAACTATTATTGATTATTATATATATGATTATTATAAAATGTTTCGATTTTACTGGATAATTTTCAGGTCCTATAAATGAAGCAGAATCACTTATGGTTTGAAAAAATAAAATAAACACAAGGAGTACTACAATTGTTGTTTTGAATGCCCAAGAAATTAAAGCTATTCTGTTTTCCATACATTGACTAATGCAGTTGAAAGCAAGAAAGTGAAGTATTTTAAATTCTGGTAAAGTGTTTAGGATTTTATGGAAGTCTTCTGGGTTGTGTCATGTAGTCAGATACGAGTTTACCAATCTTTCAGATGTTTCTGCAGCGTCCATCATCAGGACGATGGGACCCTGAACTCAGACTCCTGCTTGATACTTCCGCTTGTTATTCTGTGGTATTAGTGTTATGTATGGTTAGTAGAATATTGTTTGTCATTGGTGTTGTTTGAGGTGTTTTGTAGTGGATATCGTTGCCATCCGTTTTTGTATATTATTGTCCAAGGCATGGTGTCTAATTGATGTCATAATTAATGAACTTAAACAGTTACTTCACAGTAATTCTCGATCACTGTTAGATGCCTCCCCATTGGATAAGGATTCCCGATAATTCGAAAGCAGTGCATTATAAGATTTCTACGTAGTAACATTTAATGAATGTGATGCTGATTTTCTGTATATGAGATTTAATTTAATATAGTTTGTATTCAGGAGCAATCTGTGCAGCATTCTTGATCATATCCAGTTCTCCAATGAGTGGCAGTTTGGAAATTGATCAAAATCTAGCCCGCCGGTTAGTACTTGAAGGGGCAACTCTCGTATTCCTGGATGTGCCGCGAGGAACTGAATTTGGAATTGATATGAAATCATGGAATACCGGAGAGAAGTTCAGAGGCGTGAAAATGATACCACCAGGCTTTCATTACGTATATTACAAGTAAGTGTATTTCTGTGTGAAGTTTGAAATTTTGTTTCGTGTCTTATTCTCTGGCGACCTTTCATTGCCGTTGGCATTTTAGACTACTTGGTAACCCAACTGTGATAATTAAGATTGTATTATGGGTTCTCCAAATTCGGAAAAAAATTTATAAATTTGTCAGAATAATATGCAGAAACTTCTAGGTGCCTGGAATTTGTGCAAGCCTGTTTATCAGCATTGTTTTTTTGCCATTATCAGTGCAGTGGATAGTGAGGGAGATACAGCACCCCGGATTGGTTTCGTACACAACTTCAAGAAATCAGAATTTTTGGTGAAGAAATGGGACTCTGCAATTGAAGATATTAGCAGTGCAGGTGAAGAAATGTTAATTCCTGTTGGCAGCAGTGCACTGTTGTAAATGAGCCAGTAGTCTTTGTATATTTTTAACACACGTTTTCTTTTAGGAAGAATTAAATCCTTTTTGCTAGGAATATAAAACCAAATGGTATAGGTGTCTGTATGCCAAAGTATTATGATGTGATGGCAGAAATGAATGGTCAGCTTCACACTCTGACCACTTTTACATGATTATGAGAGGGAGAATATTATTATTACCAGAGCAGAAGGATTTTAGGGTAGGATGCAGCTCTTAAAGCCAGAACGTGGTGTGAGGTAACTGGTTGGCTAGTGGTCATGTGGAAGAATGAGAACGCATTGAAAAGATACCATTAAGATAATCTGCAAGAAGTGAGACTTTGAGGATGGGAGGTGGGTTGTTTGTCTCTGGAATGTGTCAAGTTATGGACTATAGTATTGGCAGTTTTAAATTTGCTGGTTTTACTTTTGGAGAATTAATTTGCTTCACATTGCCTTCTGTGTTTTCTAGAAGTGAGTTTTGAAGAATTATCCAGGATCAGAGAAGATCTGTTGAACTTAGATCGGTTCTTGGGCCCTTATCCGTTCGATGTTTGGAAGAGATGGAAGGACCTAACGAGTAAGGTTACAGGTGTGTGTGGTGTGTCTAATAGTAAATAGTCCCTGTTCCACCACTTTTGCCTAACAGGTTAGCTCAAACAGTAACTAGTCTCACCTGCATCTGAGAGGTACTGGCTTCAAATGGCAGCTGGTACATCTGCTGTGATTATTCAATGGAAATGCGTTACGGTATCTTGGAGTAAGCCTCGAGTTTATAGTTCTTTATACGTGATCATCCTCTGATCTCATGCAACAGTATAATAGTGGTCAATACGACATCATTAATGATCTGAAAGCAGAACAAGTAGCATGTAGACCATGGTGCTTGTGTGAAGTGTCTCTTATTTCATACTACCTACCTCTTTGAGTTTTAAAATTACTACATAGGATAGTATTCGTGGATAATTTAATGATAGGAAAGCAGGTGGTGTTCCTTTTCTTTTTGTTGAGGTGTTATGACAGTATGCAATGAGGCATTGTGATTTGAACTGCGTAGGTCCTGAATGAACGTTAGTGTTATATCTTTGCATTGTTTTAGGGTTGGAGGGTTTGTTATTTCTTTTGCAGACAATCTTGTTTCCAGAATAATTCCTCAGTCTGGTCAGATCCGATCTGCACTGGAACTGATATCCTGCGACTACAAGCCCTCAAGCGGTGATGCACCAGCACAGAAACGTAGGAGTCGCCCGATCACAGAGGAGGAACGAGAAGAACACCTTCTGCCACAGTTGAAACCAGCCCCAGGAACTGAGTTGAGGTTCATAGAATTTCCTGAGAGAAATTTTCCAGAAGGGTCTACACCAGCAGAGATAACACACCACTCGTTGGATTCAACCTATGTTTTAGAGACTATGGTAGCCAAATACGCAAGGTGTGTTGTCGGTAAAGTATAATAAAGTTGGTGGACATGAACAACAATAAAATACACTTTACACTTTAATTACCAAAGAACATGACATGAAATTTTGGTGTGACAAGTTATTGAAATTTCTTTATTATATACATTGAAACTACCATGGCATTACACTGATTACAAATGTGCATTGTGGGGCTGTTTAATTAATCGAAACCTTCATTTCAAGACTGAATTTTGCTGTGTTCATGTAGAATACTGGATGGAGAATAAGAAATATTTTTCAAGTTTGAAATTTTCATTGAGTAACAATTCCTTATGTGTCCCGCGCAGTAGCCGCGTGGTCTGAGGCATCTTGCTTCGGACCGGCGATACGGAATGCGCGCCGGTTCGAGTCTCGGGGGAGAAGAAATTTTCTCATGAGCTTTCGACCAGTGTATGGGACCGGTGCCAACCCAGCATCATGAGGAAATTGGGGAGCTACAATGAGTAGCGTAATCTGGTCAAGAAAACTAGCAATGGCTGGGGGTTCGTCGTGCTGACCACACGTCACCCTATATCTGATTGGACGATCGTTCACCTCTGCTTAGGCATGTGAACGTGAGGCCAGCAGTCAAGCTAGTCGGCTTTGGCTCTCTGGAGCTGTTACGCCACGGATTTAATTTAATTTAACAATTCCTTATGTTGACATTTCACTATGTAGAAAATCAAGCAGTAAGTGAACGCTGAGTAGAATGTGGTGTCCCATGCCACAATAGGAAGCAATCATATGCTGCATAATACTGATAAAAGCAGCTCACAGAATTAAGCTCTATTATATTAAATCATGTGTTGTTATAAATTTTTATTTGTATTTGTGGGTGATGATATTACTGTCATGGGATGATGTGGAGAAATTGGTGGCTATCTCCAGGTCAAAATAGCTGACGAGAGTTATTTTTCAGTGTAATGGGGGATGGTGGAGAATGCTTATATTCTGGTTACTGGATGTGTGTGTCTACATCTGTTGTCAGTCACTTCACTCTGAATATGGGTACTCTGATGTCTCTGAGGTGGCGCAAGACTAACTTGCTATAACACGAAACCATCACCAAACTGAAGTAAAATTTTCAACAAATTTTCTTGAAAGCCACGTGTTTCTTTTCTTCCAGACCAGTTGACATAGTGGGAGAGCTGCAGTTTGCGTTTGTGTGTTTTCTTGTCGGGCAGAGTCTGGAAGCATTTGAGCACTGGAAGCGACTTGTAGGTCTTCTCTGTTCATGTGATGATGCTGTATCTAAACGGAGGGAAGTGTATGACGAGTTTCTGTCAGCATTGGAAGCTCAGTTGGTTGAGATACCGGAGGACTTTCTGGTGGACATAGTGGCAAGCAATAACTTTGTGTACCACAGCCTGCGCTCTCTGTTCAGAACACTACAACTTAATGAGATTGTGGATGGCAGACTTAAGTCTAAAGCAAAGCGATTTCAGGACAGACTCACTGCCAAGTTCATGTGGGATTTCACAGGCTTGGAACAGGAGGAGGATGATGAGGCTCCTGTTGTTGTGAAGACCTAGGTCTGGGACTTTGTGCTACTCTCGCTCTTCATAAGTGCTAACAAGGCTGGAAAGGCGTAATCAGTACCAGAATACAGAGTTTTTACTTATTCTTTGCATATTTGGAATTCTGATTGCTCGTAACTCATGTAAATAGATATGCCAAAAATGTTAGCAATATTAAGTAGACTTACAACTTTAATTATAATCTTTATACTGCTCCGTTTTGATAATCTCAAGGTGTTCTAATCTCATTAATGAATTTTTAAATTTTAATTTTGTCGATTCATTCTTTCATTATACAACCCCTTAACATATTAAAGCCTGTCTGATACATGAAGTTGCTGATGACAAACAGAAATATATGTAAACAGAAACAGTCAGACAATTTACATGTATTTGACACTCATTTCTGTTAAATTAATCCATAATTCTACATGCTGTTCAAACATTAGGTACATTATGAAATGTATGTTTTATATATGTTATTAATTATGAAGCATTATGTAAATTTAACAGTTTCTTAATGAGGAAATGTGTAGAATATAGCAAGTAGATGTCAGGAGAAGCTGTGACATTGTGAGAGTTGAAATCTAGTGGCAAAATTAATATGTACATTGCAAGCCTTGTTTCTCTTGAAAATAGTCCATGAACAGCGCGGCATTGTTCGTTCTGCCAAGCGCGGCAACATGGTATCGACTTTGCGAGGCAAAGCAACGGACATTGCCCCGCGTGCAGTCAATACACGGCTTAACAGACGCAGTGTATACATCATTAGGTTTACAGTCCATCTAGACAACAAATTTTACGTTTATGTTCTCTGTTACTGCTGTCTGTTTTGTCTGTGATGTGAACTTTCAGCCATGCAAATGTGACTTCATGGACACCGTTCAGTCAAGGAAACAACATCGGCTTGATATGAAGATTAATTTAATGAATACAAGAAGAGTTTAAATAAAAACATAAGATATACTCTGTTACCACTTAATCTTGTACAGGGGTTTCCTGACATAGTGATATTTCTTTGACAGACCATTTTTGTAGACCCTTGTATAAGACGTGCATAAATTTTAATAATGACATTTGGGAAAGACTGTGCTTCAGTTATATGGTTGATTATAACAGTTATGATAATATTTGTATCAAAAAACAAAGGCACCTTTTGATTGCGTCTGGCAGTGTCTTGGGATGCATGATAAATGCACACTTGTAAAATATTACTTATATTTATAGATTCTAAAGCTGAATAAATTTTATTTCAACCCTTTGAATGCCAGTCACCAAAGGCTATACATGAACATAAAAGGCTGTGAAATTTGTGGTGAAATTTCAACATGTAATTAAATTTGTAAGAGATTTTCAGAACAATGAGAATGTGGATTGCGACCTGGGAGAGGATACATTGCCTCCATCTTTATCTCTGAATATGATCAGAGGCAGTAAGTTCTTCTGAAATAATGGTGACAACCACTTTCGCTGTGAGCCTGAACAGGTGGGCCAAATTTCCTTGAAAAAATTAAAAAAAATAATGCATTGCAAAAAATGTGTGATTTTGGTAGGTAGGCAGCCATATAGAGTCTGTCTTTCAGCTGTGCAGCTGATAAAAAAAACAATGTCCTGTTCATTTAGGATTTGAGGTTTTCATTGCAATGAGTATGATAATGGCTGTCTTCAGAGTTGCCCTGATGATGGAAGCAGCAAGGACCTCTGAAATGGTAAACTTCGACCAGAATACACGGTGCTACAACCAAGAAGACAGCCATCTTCTGTCCTGTTTATGGTTTGTTTTTGTCCAAAATTTAATTCAGGAACATCTGACCCACTCTGTGTGTGTGCGCGCGTGAGTGTATGTATATATATTCCTCATGCACTAACAAATCATTCTTCGTTAACAGAATTCTTTAAACTAATAGTTCTGATAACTCCACATTGCAGCAAGATGGAAAGATATGTTCTTTGGAGAACATTGAAATTCCAGAGATGTTCAAAGGGAAGTGACACGAGGAGTATGCTTCATTGATAACCATGGCTCACGGGAACTGTGGATTTATATCAATTTCAAAATTAATCGCTAATGCAACAGTGGTGTCCAAGTTCATTCTTGTGATGTCTGAGGTCACTGTTGTGAGCCATCAGTGATCTCACTTCTCACTGTTCTAATAGTGTTTAAATAATGACATCAGTTCCCAATATTGCATTGTGTTCTGACAGCAATGTTTGCAGTTTATGTACGTCTTAGGCAAGATAGATCAACCATGTGCAAACCACACCAAACGATTTGCAAAATGTTGTGATGTATCAAGCCAAGACCTCCATACATGAACTCCTTTATAGGCCAGCACAACAAGAAATTGGATCATGAGATGTGTGAGAAATTTCATTGCCCTGTTTATGGTATTTAATTTGGTTTCATCACGTTTGAGTTGTTTTCTAGCCATATTTTAACTGTCTGGCATGGAGCCAATAATTTGTGAGTACTGCCAGTTGGATAATAAGCAATCCTTATGACCCATGAAGATTAAAACAAGTAGTTCTCCTACAAGCTGAGTGACCTATCATGACATGTTTTCATATGTTGATAGAAATTACAGTACAGATACTTCTCAGATCTCTGACCTGTGGATATGAATGAAGTTACTCAAAGTATTTAACTTTCTGTTGAAAATATGAAAATATATGGTTTGTGAACGCATTGCCCATGAAGATTAAACTTTTTGTAGAAGTCTGCAGTAATATTTGAGAGATGCTGAATAAGAAACATATTCCATAACAGTAATCTACGTAACATGTAGTATTGTGTTATTAAATGCAACATTTTTCTATATGGTTTTTGGTTCTAGTTAATATAGACTTCTTTATAAAGATGGTGTCAAATTCAGACTAAAGTCAAATTTAAGAGATGCAATTTTACTAATCTCTCTTCATACAGATTGAGTGTTATTAGTACATGCATATAAGTACTATGTGTGTAAAGGTGATGGATTATGTCAGGCTGCAATTGACCCTGGTGACAACTTAAGATTGCACACACACACATGTGCTTGACTGTGAAGTGTCCTACAGTGGCACTGAGGCAACATTACAAAATTATCAGAAGGAACTGTGTACTAAAAAGTGTTAAAGATATGCCAGGCTGTAAAAGTGCCTGCCACATCACATCATAAAAATGAGGCACACTGAATCATCCCAAATAATGTCACACATGGTGCCCTGAAAATGAGATGTGTGATGGTATTTATCATATATGGTCATTCCACCAAAATAAGTAAAAGTGAAATACCACAGTCTACAAATTGATGTCAGTTTACAATGCACTGAATGTATATGGGGTTTGATACAACTTTAATTGCGGCTGAATTAAACGGCCGGGGAAGGTACCCACGGTATAGATTGGGCAGGAGGCTGGGTACACCCCAGAACCGGTCGGGGATCGAACCCTGATCGTCCAGCTAGCAGTCAGTCACAGACTGTCTACTCGGCTCAGTAGAAAGGGCAATGACTAAATCTCATGATTATTGATAACTGATTACGAATTTCATTAATATTTAGCACGATATTAGCGAGTAATTGCCATAATAATTTTAATTTCCTATTAGTAACGAATGCCGATGTTTCCGAATCGATTGTTATCGATCAATTTGACTCTTCGTGTATCGCAGCGCTTACAATTGATATCCTCCCATTATCTGTACATACAATAGCGTCAGAGCTCTTGGAGATGATCTTTTGACCTGTGACCCTGAAATCTCATGCGTTAAAAGTGTGAGGGACCGAGAGCATAGACGTGATTACGTCAGTAATGAGTTTGTTGAACGACGAAGTATTAATTGTCTGCCAGAAATATTGACTCTGCTGTGGATAAAAGAAGGTTAGTCAAGTGTTGCCGGTATTAAATTTATTTCGATTTGTTTGACTTATATGAAACATGAATATGTATGTAAGACTTGAGGTTCTCACAGCGGTGAATATGAAGATTTCTGTCTTCTGGGTTATTGCGCTGTGTAGTCTGGTCGATGTTAACCAACGTTTCAGAGGTCATACTGCCTCCGTCATATTCATCGCCCTGATGACGGAGGCAGTATGACCTCTGAAACGTTGGTTAACATCGACCAGACTACACAGCGCAATAACCCAGAAGACAGAAATCTTCATGAATATGTATATTTATTTTGGTCCTAGTCGCTTATTTTATATTTCAGAGGACCAATTTCTGCAAGCACTCTGTTCTTGATCTGAAAATGGCAGCTGGTGGTAATTTGGGTAAGTAATTGTAGTTTTAATTAATGCCACGTGTGATTTCTTCAATCAGAATTTATTTTGGCGACATGTTATAATTAGTTATAGAAATCTTGGTCTAAATACAGTAGGCCTATATATATATATTGGCCGGCACGACTGCCTGGACCACCTGCCAAAGTTTTGCCCATTACCATAAGATTGTGTTAAAAAAAAGAAGGAAACTCATACCTTTGTATCTCCATTTTTGTTCTATAATGTGTAGTATCCTAAAAATAAAAAACCTCTGATGATTTTGAGTTTGCTGAATATAAATAAAGTCAAGTTGCATGAGATTGTTGTGGATATAAGTGCAGTGGGAAGTAAAGATTGCGAGAACAATTTCTCAAGCTTGGATTCTTCCTACATCAGCCCCTCTTTATCATTTATGGCAGTCATAGAAAATGTCATTTTATAACTTGACAGTTTAATGCAGTGTATAAAATAACAATAAAGGATCATACAACAAACTTTTGAGGTTTTGAAATTTTCCCTAGCATTGCTGAGTGTATCAGATAAGGCAGGTCTCTTGCCTTTTGCTGAGAAGCTTCAAGGACTTGGACTTACTCTGGTGGCATCAGGTGGAACTGCTAAGGCCCTCAGGGATGCAAAGATTTCTGTAAAAGATGTTGCTGAAATCACAGGTGCTCCAGAATTGCTCGGAGGAAGAGTCAAGACACTGCACCCAGCTGTGCATGCAGGTGAGTGCATTCATCTACAGGAGTGGATTGGTAAGAATCTAGTTTCTAGGGAATGTGTTGTTTCCAAAAAGTATTTCCTATTTTTAGGTGGTACAAAATAGACTGGTGCTTGTTAATTCCAAAAGATCACAAACCAAAAATAGTCAAGTTGCCTTATAATTTAAAGAGAGATATGGTTTAATGGTGGACTTTATTACTTGATTAAAAAGTGTTCTTTCTGTTTACAGAATCTTGTTTTACTCATGAATATTTTATTTACTCACAAGGTTCTCTTTCATATTACACAAAAGAAATTATTTGTCATAATCAGCACTGCAGAAAGTGAATTTATTTGTTTATTTAACAACCCCTTTTCAGTAGCTCAGACTATACAGTGTCGAATAAGAGGACGATAATATATAATGAATTGAAAAGTATGTGGAAGAAAGCGGTCGTGGCCTAATTTCAAAGTACTATCCAGTGATTTGCCAGGCGGGAGAAAAACTACGAAAGCGTCAGTCAGGATATGTGGTCTCTGGGCCAAGATTTGAACCTGGGACCTCCCGAATATGAAGCAGGGGTATTAACCGTGACGTTCAGTGCAGAAAGTGAAATAACAAATTATGTTGTGTTTCAGGCATCCTGGCTCGACTCATCGAAAGTGATCAGAATGACTTGGCCAAGATGAACTACAGCATGTTTCGAATTGTTGTGTGCAACCTGTACCCATTTGTGGACACAGTTGCCAAACCAGGAATTACCGTTGATGATGCTGTGGAGAACATTGATATTGGTGTGTAGACATGTTGGTCGTGGATGCCATCGGTGTCCGTGTAACTGTACCTTCTTTAGCCCATAATATCTATGCAGGATTTTTGTCACCTGGTAGGAAAATGCCTGTGTTGTACCAAAGGCACACATGTTTGACTTTGTAATGTTTTCTTCTTCTTCTTCTTCTTCTATGGCTCTCCGGTCCGTATTCGGTCCACGGCCTCCTCAATTCTCCTTTTCCGTTCGGTCCTCTGTTAGGTCCGTCTGTTTGAGGCTTTGATCGAGGTTTCGAAACATCTTCCGTTTTACGGTGCAAGGTCGTTAGCCTTGCGACCAACCCCCAACCTGGAGGACCAGGGTACCTGTCTTAGTCTGACCTCTCCCCCTCGGCCAATCTGGCTAGGGAGGCCCTACCAGTAGCTCTTGGGGTCACTGAGGTACTCAAGCCCCACCACCACGACAAGGTGCAGGTACCATTAAGTGGGGGACTTTGTAATTTACATAAGAGAATGGAATTTACTATGTTCAGAATGCCGCTAAAAATGTCACACTCGTATGTAAATAATTTTACTCTCTTGTGAAGGATATGGTCTGCTTATCTCTTTTAATTCTGATGGCACTGAATTTTAATTCAATTCTGGATTGAATAGGGATGAAACCAGAGAAGAAGACTTATGAGACCTCTTTGTTAAAGCCGGAATCAAATTTGGAAGGGTGTTATGGTTCTAGTAGGATGACTGTTTTCTGAAATGTAGTCTGGTAGATATTCAGAGTTCCTCTGAAACGTAGGTTCATACCTACCAGATTACATGGTGTTGCATCCCACGAGACAGAGAACGTCAAAATTCACAAAAATTGTCTTTGTCCGTAAGTACCAGGTAACTGTGGAGACAAATTTCTAGGTGAGATTTTAGGTTCTCGCAGCAGTGGGATGTTCCACAATGTAGTTTTGTAGAAGTTCACTGATGTTTTAGAGGTGCTCGCTGCCTCCACCATCAGGGCAATGATCGCTGCAAACCGCATCTTACAATCCGTGATATCTTAAGTTCCGACTCTCACGTACAGAGTGCGTGTTCCTGAGGGAAGCTCTGAACTGTTACTAGGGTGACTGATGATGTGTGCAGGTGGCGTGACACTTCTGAGGGCTGCAGCTAAAAACCATGGCCGAGTCACAGTACTCTGTGACCCTTCAGATTATGACCTCGTGGCGAAGGAGCTGCAGACCTCGGCAGATGGAGACACCTCATTGGCTACAAGGTAAACACACTGCGTGTATAAAAGTTACAGGTAATTGAGAGACAATGTTCATTGCAGTTATTAGAATATGTAGGGCAGTCAGTTCTTTATGGTTTCATAAGAAGATAACGGAACAGATATTTATTAACAATATTGACAATCACAGACTCATTCTGAATGAAGATGGCGTGTGCAGGTAATGTGCAGTACAGTAAAACCTCTCTAAGTTGGACACTTGGGGTTCCATGAAAATGTGTCAAAGTTACAGAGGTGTCCAAGATAGAGGGAAGAAAAATCAGATTGCGGTCCACTGATAATATAATCTATTTACTTACATACACTAATTACTGTAGGCTTACTTGAATTAATAATTAATGACAATAGTATTAATAATAATCTTTTGAAGCTCACTCCCATGCATTGCACATTACACCCCAGCCTCAATAACATTTTCTAAAGTTAATTCCACCAATTTTCGCTTCCCCGTCGCAAAAAGAAAAATTCCATTTCTGTTAACACAGTCTGAATTCAAATGCAAGCACGGAACTGACAGAGTTTTAAACTGTGTCTTCTGCAAAACTGTAGTCCAGTTAAGGGCTCAGCAAGAGAATAGTTAAACACTTGCAATGCATTCCAATGATGGGTTCAATGTCCATAAGATAATCCTCCAGAGAGGAGGCATTCATCAGTCAGAAATTCAAAATAACAAAATATGTAACTGAAAAAGTTTCCCTGAAAAGCATCGAAGCTAAGTGCATGAACCTGTCCAACTTACAACAAAACGGGTGTCCAAGATATAGGGTATCGTGGACATGTAAAATTATAGGATATTCACCGGTTCCAATTAAAAGTGTCCAGTATAAAGGGGTGTGCAGGATATAGGGGTTTCCAACTTGAGGGGTTTTACTGTATTACGAGGTAATCAAATCTGTGCACAGAAGTGTCTGGATGGAGAATGCCCAGGTTTCCTTGGTTACATTCCCTGGCCAGTTATGCAACTACATCGTAAATCCTCTGCGATGATATCATCACCCGGCTAGACAGAACCTACCCATGCAAAAATCTTTCGCTCCAGATAACTCAACATGGCCAGTGCCATCTGGCAATCATGTCAGAATTGTTACACAGAGCTAACATTTCCTGACTTGGTAGGATTTGAAATTTTTACAATGGTGAGTCAAAAGACGGCTGTCTTCTCGGTTATAGTACCTCCGTCGTCAGGGCAACGCATCTCATTCCCCTGATGATGAAGACAGGAAGGACCTCGTAAATGTTGGTAAATTTCTACCAGACTACATGGTGCTACAACCCAGAAGACAACCGTCTTCATTTCATGACTTGTTTATACTAATTTTTGTTTCTGATATTGCAGGCAGCGTCTTGCCCTTAAGGTATTCACTCATACTTCTCATTATGACCTGGCAATATCCGACTACTTCCGCAAGCAATATAGTGCCGGAATATCACAGCTAACTCTCCGCTATGGCACGAACCCACACCAGAAACCAGCTCAAATCTTCACGACCCTAGCTCAACTTCCTCTCAAAGGTGCGTCCGTGCGAGTGTTACCACGACAAGCCTCAGATTATACCTTGTTGTTTTAATTTACAAAAATTATTCTTTTGTTCTTCTACAAAGAATGATTTTGGGCAGGATACCAAAAATGATTTTATGATACCACCCAAAAGGAAAGAGATGTTTAGGCAAACCACTGAAAAGATGGGAGGATTCTGTTATGTAATGCCCGTAACAGACCATGACTGATTTTACTGAGGTAGTGTTGATCCGGGGGTCCACAGTGGCTGCACGGTCTGAGGCGTGGGCCTTGTGCCCCTTGGTCCGTGGGTTCGAATCCCACTCAAGTCATCGATGTTTGTCCGCGTCTTTCTGTGTTGTGCTGTCCTGTGTACAGGTAGAGGCCTTGTGACGGGCCGATCCCTCGTCCAAGGAGTCCTACCGAATGTCTATAGATCGAGCAGAAATGACCTCTTAGTGTACATAATATGCCAGAGACATTGATGAAACTGGTGTTGTGGGAGCCTGACGAACAATTTAAACATTGGACAGAGGGATTTTAGAGAAGCAAACAGTCATTCAGCTAGTCGAGAAATTCCTTGCCTTTTAACCTGAAAGTTTGTTGCAATAATAGCAAGTGCCGCAGGTCTCTATCCTGAGCCGTATGAATCCAGTTTTTTAAGATCCATTTCTCTTTGTGTTATCAAATAAAATTTTTCATTCATTTCTCATCTGTGCCATGTGTTCTACATGCGCCACCCATTTGATTCTTTTTGCTCAGAGGGAGTTTAATTAAATATTTCCAGTTGTGAATGGTGCTCCTGGGTTCATCAACTTGTGTGATGCTTTGAATGGGTGGCAGCTAGTGAAGGAGCTGAAGGATGCGCTGGGCCTGCCGGCAGCAACGTCTTTCAAACACGTGAGCCCCGCAGGAGCAGCTGTAGCTGTGCCCCTCAGTCCTGAACAGGCAAGTCATTGTGTGGTGAGAAAGGGCATGGAGGTATCACAGACAGGATGAAAACTCGCTCTCCTAAAAATTAAATTTGAAAAATAGTAATATCAACTATATTTTCCATTTCTGTATGAACTACAAAATTACTTGTAACCTAATAAATGTAATCTAAAAAATACATCAGGCACAAAGAGCGAATGTTTTTAGAATAATCGTTCCGTTTTTCATATAATTATTTAATATTATGGAGTACTTTTAAAAACTGATTTATCTATGTTGGCAATAATCTTAAAACCTTGCATACTCTTCAGTGTTGAATATTTATCTAAAATATATAAAATCATGCGTACAAACAAAACTGTTTACACTGAAAAACACTTAGTGCCAAATGCATTTTGACCTCATAAGATCGTGTTATCAATGTTTGTACTTCCACTTCAAGGGAGTGCCAGCCAGAATTACGGAATTACTAACACTGGAAGATGCACATGACCTTCACAGGAATGTGTTAAACTTCACATGCGATCAGTGATGCTAAATGATGAACACCTTCAGTTGCCGATTTCAAAGGTCGAAAGAGGATGGGTTTTAGTTCCCATTGTCATTGATTCCCTTGGCCTCCCCATTCAGATGTTCTTGGAAATTAAATTCATTAAAAAATGACCAAAAAATTTGTTTCTGGGCATATTTTCAGTTAGGTAAATACACACACAACAAACCTCGTTATACACTATCCGAAATTGGCCGTTTAACTAGTCTGCTTCTTGAAAGAGAGAGTGTGTGCGCGTGCTTGTGTCTAACTCCGGAGGCTACAAGACAACAGAAAATGAAGAAACATCTGATTTTGAAGCAGTAATTTGACCAGCCATGGTCAAATATGGGGTCCGCAGTGGCCACGTGGTCTGAGGCGTGGGCCTTCTGCCGCCTGGTCGCTGGGACCGTGGGTTCGAATCCCACTCAAGCCATGGATGTTTGTCCGCGTTTTTCTGTGTTGTGCTGTCCTGTGTATAGGTAGAGGCCTTGCGACGGGCTGATCCCTCGTCCAAGGAGTCCTACCGAATGTCTATAGATCGAGCCAACGATAAAGTTGGGACCCGCAGTGCTCAGGCACTTGAAGAATGGGTCGAACCCAGTGTCCCCAGTATGGTCAAATATAATATAATGCTAACTAGAACGTCTGGCCTAGCATAATGTAAGCATCTGTCTACTAGTTGGAAAATGTTACTGTAGACAAATGATACTGTGTTAAAATAGACTGTGACTGCTCCCTCCCACATCCCTGCCAGTTCATCGTTTTCAATTGTGGGAGAGAGAAAAAAATTGTGAGATGAAATTATGGCCAAATTAAATTGCCGGTTACTTAAAAACTTCAAAAAGTGTAAGGATAGAAGGAATACCTTATAATCTGTCATGAGATCCTGAACTTTGGAAGTGGATTCCTTGCATTTTATGGGACAGAGGAGGCCAGTAAACTCAAAGGCCACGAGAGTGGGTGTCTGTAGAAAAATACAGGGAATAAATAAAACGTAGCGTGTACAGGAAACAAAAACGAGAGTCGCAATAGAATATATGCCTTATATTGTTTTCAGGCCAAGGTATGCATGGTGGATGATCTGTTGGGGCAGCTAACTCCTTTGGCTGTGGCATATGCTCGTGCACGTGGAGCAGACAGAATGTCCTCATTTGGAGACTTCGTTGCACTGTCTGATCCCTGTGATGTTGCCACTGCCCGCATTATCTCCCGTGAGGTTTCAGATGGAATAATTGCGCCGGCCTACGTACCGGAAGCCTTGGAGCTGCTCAAGAAGAAAAAGGGTGGCGCATACTGCGTGTTACAGATAGATCCTTCGTATGAGCCTCGTCCGGTTGAGCAGAAGGTTCTCTTTGGGCTCACATTGCAACAGCAGCGCAACAACGCTGTAATCAACAAACAGCTCTTCAGTAACACTGTCTCACAGAAGAAGGAGGTATGAATGTTGATAAATTTTAGTTGCTTAATACAAAACAATAATTTTGCCTGTTGTTTTGTATGGGTGCGAAACATGGTCTCAAGATTACAGTCGTGGACTGTAACTAGTTTTTGTAATTGGTGTTGAAACTTTAGATCATTTAGTTGGATAGTGAAATATATCACTTTTATTTTCACAAAAGAAAAGTGCAGATAACTTGGGAAATAAATTAACATCAGACAGGTGGAATGGAATTTTCAGAGCTTAATTTTTTAGAGCGATATTCTCCTCCTCCTTTTTCCCATTCAAGGATTGAGTCTGTTGTCCCCATCTCCTATTTTGGATGTTCAGTGTCCTGCTTCTAGTAGGTTGGTAGAAATATGTTTGCAACATAAGGCATTCAGGAGGCATCCTCTCTGCATGATCGTGCCATTTCTTTCGATATTCTTGTATTTTCATTACGTGAATCAAAGTTTTATATTTGTGTTTTATCTGTTGGTTTAGCTGCCAGAGGGAGCTGTGAGGGACCTGATAGTTGCAACCATCGCACTAAAGTATACACAGAGCAACTCCGTGTGCTACGCAAGAGACGGTCAAGTAATCGGTATCGGTGCCGGTCAGCAGTCTCGTATCCATTGCACTCGTCTCGCTGGTGACAAGGCTGACAACTGGTGAGTAGTATGTGAATCACCGTAGTTGTACCTCATATATTATTATCTTGTTACATGTCATCAAAGCATTTTTAAGTGGAATACATAAAAAAATCTTCGGTGGCATACTTTTTCCCAAAATGTTGTTACTGGTTGGTGTATAATTGTCTTATTCAGTATTTCCCGTTTGTGACGTCAGCATTGCCTTATAGGTGGTTGCGACAGCACCCTAACGTGATCAGCATGAAGTTCAAGAAGGGTGTGAAACGTGCTGAGATCTCAAATGCCATTGATAATTATGTGAATGGAACTGTTGGAAAGGACATGGATGAAAAAACATGGGCAGCCATGTACGAGACAGTTCCCAAACTGTTGACGGACAAGGACCGTGCAGAGTGGAGTGGCAAGTTGTCAGGAGTGGCACTAGGATCTGACGCCTTCTTTCCTTTCAGGGACAATGTTGATCGTGCCAGACAGGTGAGTGGTGGTTAAAAGCATTTATAGAAATGGAGGGATATACAGGGTGTCCATAAAAAACTTTTACAACTTCAAGACTTGATAACAAATTAATGATTCAAGATAACTGAATGGGGTTTGTTGCTTGTTAAACAGCGTCTCTCAAAGTTATATGTACATAAGTCAGTACACCTATACATGTGCACCCTTAGTTCCACGTAGCACATCAAGCCGGTACTCGATTTCCCACCATGTTTGCTGAAGAATCTCTGCATTAATGGTTGCAATGGCTTCCACAATCCTTCGCTTCATTTCGTCGATGTTGGGAACCTATGTTCGGTACACAAGATCCTTAACATAACCCCAAAGAAAAAATTCCAGCGGGATTATGTCGGGTGAACGAGGTGGCCGCGTGGTACATCTGGCAGTGTCACACTTGCATATATCTAAACCATTAAACCCCAAATTTAAAGTCTAGCTGGCAGCCTTAGTTCTCGTTCGGTAAAGTTAAACTTGATGTTTCAGAGTGGTGTCGAGTACATCGCAAGTCCGTCCGGTTCAACAAACGATGATGATGTGATTAGAGCTTGTGATGATTATGGCATCACTTTGGTCCACACTAATCTTCGTCTGTTCCACCACTGAGCTTGGGGGACTGACAGTAAGCTATAAGAGGTAAAATCTGTTGTGATCTGAAATGTGCTTTTATACAATTTTTACATAATTTTGTAATCTCATTACATATAATTCATATGTTCATACACACTTACTGGAATTAATCATTGAATTACAGAAAGATTTAAGGAGAAGTGTGCTAAAGCCAAAAATACTTTCTGGGATCTTATTTGCAATAATCATCAGAAACGTGTTCCAAAAATTTCAAAACCGCTTGTGTTTAAAATACCGGCTGTTTGACTATGCAGACTTAAGTAATAGTTGAGAATAATTTATATTTGATATGTCCTTGCGTTCTTAAGCGTGCGTGCTCAAAGATAATTCATTATTGCTCTGATCAAAATTAAGTCATGAGGTTCAACATTCATGTGCATATCACAGGAAGTTCGTGTTCAAGACAACAAAACATCTTCATAAACATGATTATTATTTCTGGACATTGTCGACCATAATTTTTATTTTTTAAATCTGACATGTCAGAAGCTGGCAATGTTTCTGTCATAAGGTAACGAGAAAAGGAAGTCCAAATCACAGTACGACTGGTGGTCAGTCAGTCGGCCCATCGTGATGTGTCCCTTTCGGCACTTATGAACAGATTCTGCAGTTACTCATTCACTGTCACTATAATCATCATTCTAATTAGTCACACTTTTGTTGTCAGTATCATTGTTCATTAAATCCTCAATCTCATTTAATTGGAAATTCCAGTAAGTTTGAAACTTTTCTCCACAATTTATGTGTGAACTGAGCGCCATGATGCAAGGATCCATTCCCGCACCGTTGGCAATGACGTGCACTTCATTCTATCTTGAACTCTTACAATAATTCCTGATAGAAATTTGGGTTTTGGGAGAGTTCCATGCCCCCCTGAAAATTACAAATGATGGCAACTTTTGACTGTCATCTGTCAACACGGTCCATCGTCGCTTTTCCGCACTTATCATCCTAACTTAAACTGACCTTTTACCAACATGTTTTTTCCGCACTTATCATCCTAACTTAAACGGACCTTTTGCCAATATGTTATAACTGTTTTGAAGTCTGATCAGTGTTTCAAATTTGAGAAAGAAGGTAGCTGCATATCGTTCTTAATAAAATCACAAATTTCTGAAAATTAATTAGTTTGTCTTTGTAATATTAAAAAAAATTGAAAGCTGCTGATGGTTGAACTTTTGAACCCGCCTGTAACTACTATATAGCCTTGAATTCAGTAATAGTAATGTCAAATTCTTGTGGTATTTTGAAAGTGTCTGACTTCAGCGTTTCGGTAGAAACCTCACAATGTGACTTCCTGAAGCTAACGAAATCCTACTTAGATAATAATCATGTTTATGAAGACACACGATTGTCAGAGATATTTAGACATAACAAAATGTTTACTAGCTGGTCACCCCAGTTAAATTGTTACAATAAAGTGAAGTAGACTGGCATGCATTGTGCTGTGCATTTGTAAAAATGGACTTCATTGTGACCCATTTTCCATGATAGGGTGAATAGTGCAACCCATTTGTAGCGTCGAGAATATTAATTTCTGCCGAGTGCCTAAAATTCCATTTACGTTGGTGAAGTAAAGGTGTAATCAAGCGAGATATTGGAATGGTTCAGAACCACATTAAAAAAGTGTAGCACATCGTAAAACTTGGTGTTTTGCGTTGAAGTCTTGTTATACTCGGTTGTAGGGGTGGAACGGCATCTCACACACGTTCCAGTATATGGAGTACGTGATTGTTATAGATATATCTGCATTCCAGTTGCGTCTTCGTAGGGATTACAAGAGTATTTTTGTACCATTTCTTTTATATTGTATTTTTGTAAGAGAGATTTGTATATGAATAATATTTTGTTACAACATGAAAGATGGTGGTGTGTTGGTCTTTTTTGCACTGATTTGTGATGACCGGACTCACTTCTGAAATTTGTTCTTCCCTTGTGCCACGTTGTTAATCAAATAAACATTGCAGCTTTCAATTTAATTGCCGACTTTCGCTGTAATATCCTCTGCGGTCCAGGCTCTAAAATTGTTCCGTTCCTGTCATCCTTGGAACAAACCCATTTCATTTCCGGTTGTCCTGTCCGCCCAAGAAACCGACAAATTCATTTAAGTGCAGTGATCATTTCAGCAACAAGAATGCCCGGTTTGACACAGCAATATTGTGTTTATTATTATTAATCCATTTGATTTGTATTGAATTTCATCCACCAGTAAATGTTGTAATATGGGTTGCGTGACCTTTCGATAACTCTGCATATTAACTGTGACCGACACGAGATATCCCGGCTACAGTTTTCCAAATTTCCTCAATAAACATGTTCATTACGTCCTTCCCGTCACATTGCCCGCCTCCTTGCCTTCCTCTGTTGTCATCTGACTTTACCATCCTTACAGATACTGCAGTTGGCTTGCCACACATCCCCTGTACCTTAATGGATGGATAACATTGGAAAATATCTAGGTTCGCCACTGGAGACATTTTGTGATTAGCTGGTCATCCCAGGCAGCCAAAGATTCCAATAGTAAGTAAGATAATTATTTTCTTATATGCTTTTTCTGACTGTTTAATGTGTCCTGCCCATCTGTTAAAGCATCCGTTACAGAAAGTGATTTATACAGGTGCACAGTGTTCATGTTAGCCATATCGGTCTGGCTAACGTTGAAAAACGAAAAAATTGGAAGACATACTTTTGTGATTGTGGTACTCCAAACGCTAGAACATAAATCTACAGCGGCTCCAGCCAAGAAGTCGCTGTTTGCCAACTAGTCATGGCTTAACTCGACCCTTCTATTTGTGCAGGCACACTTTAGAGAGACATAATACAGTGTAGGGTTGTGGGGCAAAGCTGCTGCATGACCTCCTAAGCTGTTAGACAAATATCAACTGCTTGCTTGCATGATGGCTTTTGATGTTGCACATTTCTCTTGATTTTAATTGTGTAACATTTGTTGCAAATATGTTGTTACTTGTGCATCATGGAAGATGAAGTTTTTGACTGTGTCGTCGGTGACTTAAATCGGCCATTTTCTTGTAGTGATCACGATAACACAAAGCGACACCAAAAAATAAACAACAAACAAAACATCATCGTAATTCGGAAAGGGTGGCGAATTAAAAAAGAAAAGAAATTTTCTTTGGAAAATTATCTCCCCGTGAATAACTCTGTATATATTACATAGTCGTGGCTAGAATAGGATTTGTTTTCATTCCATGGCTCCTTAACAGAAGCACAACGCAGATTATGATTTATGACGAAATCAGAAGTGACCTGGAATACGGTGTTTTTAGTTTTTGGTGATTTGTTAAGATTTCAGCGTCTGTGATTCCTTCCGTACCATCCGGGCTTATATCGTGTAAAGTTAATCTAGAATAGGATGAAACGAAACTTTTCCTGGAGAAATGTAGACAGAGTTTCTTTGATTACACTCAAGACAATAATAACGAGACGTTCAGCGTATCGCTCCCGGCGACTGGAAAACTGAGGATTGCAAATGAGGTTATGGACGTCGAAGTTGAGTCTATGTTTACGTATAACAGTGAGTGGACTGCAAGGGTCAACTGATAACCACGGACGAAATGTGTGAATTCACGACGATGGACATTGTGAGCCGGTAAGTCAGATTAAACGCAAATCATAAGCACGAAGGTTTAAAGTTCAAAATGCCGCTACTTAAGGTCGAAATTAAACGTAGTTCCGTTCTTTAGCTGTTACGCCATACGGAATACCACCCTTATTTTGTCTGTCTTGTTCGTACTATGGAAGTGGGTATTTTAAAGGCTATTTCTGGGGTTGTTGCTGCATCCAAATGACCTGATAGGACACCAATTTCATGCTGTGCTTTTCCATTCAAAACGTCAAATCAGAGAGCTTTCATTCAACTGAGCTAAAACGCTTTGCCAGTGAATGAGGTAACTCTGTAATTAACTTTGCTTGCTAATGTTGAATCCCAAACTGTGGTCTAAGGTTGTGATAATATTTTGGCTGATCTGGCCTATTGCGCAGTAGAAGGACATTAATAGATGTGAATGGACCGCCAGTAGGATGATGATCAGGGGGGGAAACACCATATTTCAAAGTAAAACCATCCCCGGGGCCACTTTGTTCACCACAAATCGGCCCACAATACTGAATCATCTTTTTTAATGACAACCTATTACAAAACAAATATATCATATTTCATCAAATATTTATGAAAAAATATTAATTTATTCAAACTACTAACTCTGGCTAGTCAGCTGCGTACATACAAAGCACAATGTTCTAAACTGAAATTAACTAAGCATATTTCAATAATACTAAGAAATAAACAAGTCGGTGGGAGTACAGCACTCCTGCAGACTCTGTAATAACACATTCCTGCCATTAGCTTAAGGAGCACAAAGATATTCTGCATGAAGGAACATTTTCAGATCTGCCAGTGGCTCAGTAAAGATTTATATGATGAATTTCTAGTAACCTCAGACTTCAGACAGCGTCAACAATTCTACTGAATGACAATCCAATTACACTGAAATTATCAGCTCAGTGTCTGTTTCTTATGTCATTTAATGTTGCTATATCAACTGCAGAGTGGTTTAGTACCAGGTGAAATGAGAAGATGATTATGCATGGTGAAGTAAGAGGACAAATGGTGGAAACAGTTGTATACTTGAAGGCAATTTTCAGAAAGCCATTGCCGAAGCAAGAACAAACATAAATGACCCGTCTTCTGGCTCGTTGTTAGTGGTAATGCGCCTTGAATTTATCAAATATCCAGTCTGAATCTTAGCCAGGGAATATGCTGTCCTTATTGGTGGTTTGAAAATTCCTTCACCCCTCAGCTTGTCGTTGGAATCATTCTCATATTAGCTAATATTAATCGACCGATGTTGATGGCATACAAACATATTCTTATTTTAATGCGTTCATGAGAAACTAGAGAGGAAGCTGATTCATGATGTAACTGAGCATCACTTTTCTCTGTGGCTTTGTATCGGTAGGAAGGACAGCCGTGCCCTCGTAGAGAGGAAGCTGATTCATGATGTAACCGAGCATCACTTTTCTCTGTGGCTTTATATCGGTCGGAAGGACAGCCGTGCCCTCCCCACAAAACATGTTCACACGCTGGACGTAGAATGCCTAAGTGATCCGCAGATAAGAACAGGTCTGTTTTCTGGTTAATACGCGATATAGTGGATTTGTTACAGTGATGTGACAGCGGTCTGATGCCCGAAGTAACGCGCAGTTTGGCATCAAGAGACGCAGACAAACGAGCTGTACAAAGGCTTGTTTCCTGACTGCGATAAATTACTTTGATCAGTGCATTTCTGAACTAAAATCTAGTGTCTTGTTTTTACAGCAGAGGGGTAACATCTGCTTGCTGTTGTCTAATAGCCTCTTTCTGGTTTATTTCATTTTATTTGTAATTTTTGGCAATATTAGTTTATATGGAAAATTAAAACATTCTTTGCTATTCGTTCCTTACAGACAGCTTATAAATGGACTTGTGTTGTTTTACATGTTAACTTCTTGCCAGTTCTTATTTTGATACTAGATTCTGAAATAAAGATACAGGAATGTAGCAAAATCTAAGTGAGCACTGACAAATTTGTTGTATTTAGTAAGTGATACATAATTTAAGGGAAATAACTTTGAAACAGAATTTACAACCTCTCTCTCTCCGTCTTTACTGCAGATTTTCATGATCTGCGAACTACTGTGTCCACAGCTGTATCCAGCTTCCTTTCTGGAAACGTACTTGTCATGCTAATGAAAATATGTTAACATAATTATTTAAACAAAAATACAGCTGTAGAATGCTTGGAGGAACCCTTCATAACATATGGTCTCTGGGTTCGGATTCAAACATGGGACCCCCTGAATATAAAGCAGGCGTATCAGCTATTACATTATGACCTTTTGTCCTTTGGTGAGGGACCATAACATTTATGTTGTTATAAATGAGAGTCTTTGTCTAAACTAAAATATCCTTTATAGGCAAGTCTGTAAAATATAGCAACATACAAATTAAATCATTATGGCAGCAAATTTGAATTTATGAAGACATTTATTTCTATACTGCGTTTCTATCATAAAATTATTGAAACAAAGATATATTCTATTTCATGAAATAAAATCAGATGTATTTTGGAGTCCTTGGCCGATTTCAAATTTCTTAGTTTTTGGGATCTGCTCACCGCAACTGAAGTAACATTTGTTCGGCCCAGTTTTGACAAGAGTCTTTGCCATTACGCTCTGGTTCTGGAGCCTGATTAATTTTCTACTGGTGAATGCATGTGAGGAAAGGTATCAGGAAGGCTGCCTTTGAGTGCTGCGGCTTCTTCAGCACTGTCCGTTGTATATGGATGGCTCCTCTGATACCAGTGTCACCGTGCTCTTTTAGCCGCAGGACACGGTGGCTACAGGAGATGATCTTTGTACGTTGTTATAAATCAGTAACAGATTTTTTTTGAAATCCAAGAACTAGTTGATGTACTAACCATCTTATTGAACGGACAGTCGGTCAGATGCATGCAGAAGTTTTGTTCCACTGCCTGATTTTGTGGCTAATAACAAAGAATGTTTTATTTTACAATGTTGGGTTCAGTAGATGCCAATTATGTCTCGTAACATAAAATACTTTTGTTTATGTTTAATCTAACAACAGATCCTGTCGCAGTAATTTTGTTAACCCCTCTAAGAGCCTATAGCAACTCAAGATGAACAAACAAGTGTTAGTTTATATTCTGAGTTACTATTTATCTTGGTTTCCACATATTTTGTAAAGATCTAGAAGATTCTATTCATAATGAGCATCTAGCGACTATTTATCTTGGTTTCCACATATTTTATAAAGATCTAGAAGATTCTATTCATAACGAGCATCTAGCAGATGTCCACAGAACAATTCAGTAAAATCATGTCCAGGTTCTGAAAGTAAAAGGGTGAAATTTTCAGTACATTTCAGAAAGTACCTAACCAGTACATCCCGAGCCAAAATATATGCAGAATTTTTACAGTGAAGCCAAACCCAGTCGGCCATTTGATTATGCGTGGGCTAAATTCTTTTCTTCTGTTCATTTATATAATTTCAAAAAGTTGTATTTCTAATTATGTTTTCCAGAATTAAATATGACATGTATGAGATCTGTATTAATATTTTAAATTTACCACTGACTTTAAAAAGAACCATGCCCCTGGAGAAATAATTCAGCATTAATTACTGCAGAGGATGCTACTGTAGTGACATCTATGTTGAAGTGATCGAATTACAAGCAGTTCTGTTGTTGACTTCTGTTGGCATTCAGGAAGGGGATATTTTCGTGTTCCCATTTCTAAAATTTTGTACTGTCTAGTAAATTTAGTTTGGAACTAGTATATAATGATCGTTCATGGCAGTGAGGAAATTTAGTTTGGAATTTTAAAAATAAATAGGGATTTTTATGTGTAAGTAAAATTAATGAAGTGACACACACTGTCTTCCTAGATCCCCATAATTTAGATGAGTGGTATTCAACCTGGGGTACGCGTACCCCCGGGGGTACGCGAAGACATCTTAGGGGGTACGTGAAATTTAAAAAATATATATTATTTTATGATAAACACTGAATAATCAGTAATTTATTTAATTTATTTTAGATGTAGATTATATACTATGTATAACTTGAATTATACACCCAACGACTTTGGGGGACACAAAGTTGAAGAGAAATTATATCTGGGGGGTACGCGAACAAAAAAGGTTGAATACCACTGTTTTAGATAATGTTGCATCACGGACACGTACGTACGCATCAAAATTTGAAATTAACGCCACCAACTTCAAGGTCTATTTGTAAATGAAAGTGAGTACAAACAGTTGGCTGGGGACATTGCGAAATAAGTGACATTTTAATATTGTAGCCTACGCATACTTGTTTTGGTAAAGCACGAATCTTATTCTTCTTCTTCTCCTCTCAATCTGTGGCAATCAAAACAAAACCACGTGGCCCTAATTCCCAAGGTAACGGTCGGTGGGAGAATTTGAAAAGATTCAGGAAACAGACCTCGTGGGTGTCCGTCACCTCGAAACAAATTTGTTACATAGTTGGCATCTACTGTTAATTTGTTAACACTCGATATGATGCAGTGTTTCCTCAAGCATTGCCCTTCTTGGACCGGTCCAGACGTCGTCGGGTCCTCTCGTTCTTTCCCTTCAGTTTCTGCTCCTGTCTGTTGGTACACTTGCATCGTCTGACCACCTTCACGCGGTAGACACGCCGTGACCCATCTTTACAGATCAGCGTCACTCTCCTTTTCTTGGAAGCTCCATCCGTACACCGCCATGTCTGAGGCAGAAGGGTTGCTATGGTGTCGTTGCTTATTAGGAACGGAGTTGGGATCGCGGAGCCGGATTTCTTCTGTTTCTGTCTGGTTGCCCACTCTTGCCAGTGAATCTTCGACATGAAAGTCGGAGACTGTTGACCGGGTATTTGTCCAGGCGGCATCATGCACCAGCCGGCGCATACCACTTCGTTGATTGGCTTAGGAGTTGTGCACAGACCGTCGGATATATAACGTTTTGATCTGAGCTCGTGGCATCCGGTGTCCATGCCTGCGAACACAGAACAAACAAACTAACTAACTAACTAGATGGCTTGCCGAACCCGAAGGTTCATCACCGAATTAACCAAAGCCCTCCATCGGACCCTGTCCTGGGCCAACAAAATCCAGTTTCCTTCAACTCCTATCTCCCATAGATCCCGCCTGAGATTATCCTCCCATCTACGTCTAGGTCTCTCCAGAGGCCTCTTCCCCTCAGGCTTCCCAACCAATACCCGGTGTACACCTCTTGTCCCATCCATGCGCGCTACATGCCCCGCCCATCTCCTTCTTCTCGACTTAATCACCCTGACAAAATTGGGGGAGGAGAACAGATTTTTAAGTTCGTCATTATGCAGTTTTCTCCACGCCCCATCGTCTTCCCTCTTAGGCCCAAATATCCTCCTCAACACCCGATTCTCAAACACCTGCAATCGCGAACACAGAACAAAACAAAAAAAAATTCGTAATCCCGAAAAAGCCCTTTGGCAGGCCTGCTTAAAAAAATAAATAAAATCTTCATCGGTCTTGTATGATTCTCAGTGCTAAAAGCGATCATTTCCTTGAATATCAAAACCAGCTGATCTGCGCAATGGTGATGTGTAGTGTTTTCTTTGAGGTACGAACCGAATTCTTAAATATATTATTCAGACGAGGTTCGTCTTCAAAGGACTCACGGCTTACGACATCGTTACTTCGTACGACCGAAGTTTGAGGAGCTTATGTAAACGACTTAACTATCAGCCAGCAGAGTATTATTAAAGCAGGCTACACAAATAAAGTTGCATGTTTACGAACTTCACATTCACGGCTAGCCTTAGGAGAAACGGCGCCCTTGGGCGAACATAGCCACAGACAGCTCCCTCTTCCCAGACCAGTTTTGCAACATTTACGATCTGAGTGTGTCCAGTGACCATTCGTCGAAACCACTGAACAATAATAACAAATAATAATGCTATTGTATGACGTCCCGTCGGGAAGCTGTCTGGGGCCTCTTACGCTGTTCTTCCGCTCTGATTCTTTGGGCGAAGGTTCAGCGTCAATTAATGAGAGAATATTTAAACAACCGGCAGTAGAGACGACGAACCATCCTAACGATTTACGTGCGTGGCCTGAAGAAAATCACGAAAACTTATTCAAGGCGTCCGGTATGCTTCAGGAATGCGAAGTTATTCGTGTTTCGAGTCGCCAGCCTTAAATTGGGGGATTGAAAGAAGAAAAGTTTTAAAAGTAATGCAGGATTTTGATTCTAGTTTTATTCGTTAGCTCACGTCCTCCATACATAGCCTAAATATACAGGGTGATGCACGAAAAAGGGTTACCGCTTCGAGTCGTGGTATAATAAATGCCTTTTTCTGAACTGAAATAGACTTTTGGAAAAGCTGACGAACGCCTAATTATTTAATACATAACCTCAACCCCCCCAACCAAATTGGTTCGAGCAAGACGTGTTGGATTTTCAGAACATTTTTTGGCCATCGGTATCACAGTTGTGGGTTCTTTTGGCCACCCCTCTGTCCAGACCATAATCCATGTGAGTTTTCTGTGTGGAATTTGATGAAAAAGAAGTTGTTCTCAAAGAAGCGAGATTTAAGATTCGCAGAGATTTGAGCTGTGTCTTTGCGTCGTTAGGAACACTGACCCGCAGTGTGACTGAAGACGTCTCTCAAGATATTTTGCCTCAGGATATGTGAGATTTATAGCAGTTGGTGTTTTATTACATTAAAAATGTCCCAACTAGTTTGGCACTGTGGTAGGAAGATTCTTCGGCTGGGTACTGATTGCATTGACCCCAAGGTTTTTCCGTGGTTGTCTGCGCTATCTTTGGGAAAATGACAAGGTAGAACGTCGCATTGGCCCGTGACAACTGCTTCTCGAAATATCTGTTGTCATCGCCGTAATCTAGACTGTCCATGAAGACTTTGTTAGCCCGGAAGAAATGCCCTCGAAGCTGCTTGGTCTCTGGAATTATAATTTTTATAATGTTTCTGGTCTATTTCCTTTGTTGGTCGGCTCTGGAGCTACTGGTTACTTGGAAACGCACATTTTTCTCACGAAAAACTAGACATTGCCGCAAACACCTGCAAAAAGAAACTGCTGACAGTCGCTAATCGTTTCGGCATTTTCTGTCGTGCAGTCGAGTATATTTCGACAATGCGGTCTCAGAACTCCACGTGCATGTAAGAACAGACGAGAGCTTCGTGCTAATTACATGGTCGTTAAAGTACAGTCTGTTTCAAATGTCAGGAACCGGAGACTGCGAAGTAGATCATGAAATTAAAACATTTAACATTTTGCTTCGCTTGGTTGAAAAGTGAAATGATTTTTCGCGAAATATCTGAGTCGGGTTTTGAAACCCCATTCAGATCCGCGCCCTGGGCGAAAGCCTTGTTCGCCCACTCCTAAAAGGCCAGTTCTGTCTATCTGTTTCAGTGTTTCAAAGCGCCGTTTACAAGGAATCGCTTCGCATTGCGTTCCCGTCAAAGAGGTGTCTTTTCATCTGAAGGAGTTGTTCCGTGTTTTCGTATGAATGCCACATAGCGTTGGTTACAACACGTAAAAGCCCCTCGTTATGTCGGTTTGTTCTAAATTAATACTGGCATTACAATATTTTATCGACTAACCTCCGAAGCATTTGGCGTGTGTTGCGTGGAGGCGACCGGTCTAGGCAGGAACACCAATTACTGAACAGTCTGTAGTATTGGGTACCTCACATAAACAGCTTGTAGGAACGGTATGACTTTCCAATTTGCATGTGAATGACGAGGGACATATAAGACGCTGTGTTTGCCTCTCAACCTATCAACAACAGTCCTCGAGTGGTCTGAACAACAAAGGTCTCTTTACACTCCGCGTTCTCAATTCTATCGCATTCTTCGACAAGACCTTCTTATCTTCACCAAATGTTATACAGTCATCAGACGAAAATTGAAGAAGCCATGGACTGAGCATGTGATACTTACAAAATTTCTGTCGGGAAACCTGACAATAAGAGACTGCATAGGAGACCAAGGTATAGATGGCAAGATCTTAAAGTAATATAGCATATGGCCGCCACGGTGGTCTAGCGGTTAGAACGCTGGCCTCGGGTTCGATTCCCGGCGGTGCCCGAATTTATAACTTGTGTTGGGCAAGGCCGTGGTCTAGGCAACACGGAGTTTTCCTCCGTGGCATCCCAACAATTACTCCATTCACACACAGAAGAAGGCAATGGCAAACCACTTCTGAATCATCTCTAGCGGTTAGAACGCTGGGCTTGTAATCCTGGGGTCTCGGGTTCGAATTTATAACTTGTGTTGGGCAAGGCCGTGGTCTAGGCAACACGGAGTTTTCCTCCGTGGCATCCCAACAATTACTCCATTCACACACAGAAGAAGGCAATGGCAAACCACTTCTCGATCATCTGCCAAGAATGAGATCATTGGTCAACAACAGGATACATTCGTAAAACTGTTACAACAATCAGTTTCATAACTTCAAATGGGAACTTGTAGATCCGTGTGTGAGTTGTACTTGAGGCTGCCATAAAAGAAGGTGCCTATTTCACACATTTTATTTTAAAAAGTTTGCTTCAGTGTATTTCGTTTAGCCCCACGTAGTCCTGTTAATTTCGTTAATTGCATTGTCCACCTTAACTTTCTCACGCTTTCCAACGTTCCTTTGTCACAATGAACATTCACATGTGGAACGAAATCACTCAAATGGCAAATCTTAAGTGAATTTATTTATTTTATTTAGTGTTGTGTCTGACGACAGGTCCATATGAACAGGATCCTTCCATCCTTTTCTCGGACT